GGTGCAAGTTTGGGTTGGATTCCCCCAAGAAAAATGAATCGGAGGTCTCAGTGTATGGTCCTATATTCTAGCAAAGACATCTACTAAAAGAATTTTTGGAAATGAGAGGGATACAAGGAGGAAGATTCTCATATGAGCCCAGGGGCAAAAGAAAATTCCAGAAAGGAGGATGTGGTCACATCTCAACTATTGCTGATGACACACATGAATCTACAGAGGAGAAGTGATAATAGTCCTCAACCGCCACAAGGAATCAGCCCAGAGATGGGGGCAGGGGCAGAGGAAGGTGGGGCGGCAGAGGACGGAACAACACAGCAGCAGGGAAAGCAGACCTGGGGACCTCTAGTTCAAGAGTTTCCTCTGAGACTCAAGCCCCAGAGGAGGCTGCAGAGGCTCCGTTCTCTCTTCAGCCCATTACGTGGAGAGAATGAACCATTCAAGAACATCCTCAGGTCACAATCTTCCCATTTCTAAAATGGCCCTGATACACACCTTCCAGGGACAGGTGTGCTGGGACAGGGGTGAAGCTGCCCCCTGGCAACCCTGGCATCTCATATTGGAGCACCGGTTTGAGTCCCAGCTTCTCTACTTCCCATTTGGCTCCCTGCCAATATGCCTGGAAAAGCAGTGAAGGATGGCCCAAGTATTTGAATCCCTGCCACCCATGTGGGAGACTCAACTGGAGTTTGATTCCTGGGCAAGCCCCAGCCATCGTGACCTTTTGGAGAGTGAACCAGCACATGGAAGATCTCACTTCATCTCCCCATTTTCTATCTGTAACTTGACAAACAAATAAGTTTTGTTTTTAAAAGTGCACGCCCTTCTGAAAATGATGGTGTGAGAAGTGACATGAACTCAGAGATGTTCAATAGTCAGTCACGGCTGTTAGAATGAGAGGAAACAGGAGACTCACACACGAGAATAAAGGAGAGAGCAGCAGGGAAGGGAACAGCACCCATGGGCTCCACACTCCCCCACAGTCCCACACCCCTTCTCGCCCCCTGAGCACTCACCCCTGACAGCCCCGGTTCCATGGGGACTCAGCAGGACGGCCAGGGCAAGGGCTCGCAGGATCATGGCTCTGGTCTGATCCCTAAAGTCTTGCAGGTGCTTTAGCAACGGGCACTGTGAGCTTGGCAGTGCGGAGAAGAGGAGGTGGAGCAGGCAGGGAGGAGTTCTGAATCCAGGACTTGTTCCTCCCAGGAGGAGCCATGGCAATGAAACAGCTGGACAGGGCTCAGCCAACCAGAGGATGCCAGCAGGGCTCACCCACATCTCCCACTGTGGCTGGGTGAAGAAGATTCTAGAACCACCAAGGGCAGGTGGGAGAATCACAGCCCAGACAGCCGTGACTGTGTGTGGAGCTTGGGAATAAATGAAGAAATAATCTTGCCTCCTTAATGAGTTTGCCTGCAAATACTTTGCGGAAGTAGCTCCTTGAGTATTCTGTATTTGTAGTGACTTTGTGATTGAATGTTATTTCTTCAGGTTTCATGTTGATCTGAGTATCATACAGAAATGTAATTGTCACCAACTGATATCACATCTTCTCTAACACTTTAGATAATTTTGGAGAAATCCTTTAATGCTTTGAGAGATAGCAATAAAGTAGAATTTATATTTAATTATTCAAAATTGAATTACTCTTCTCTTTATTTGTTCTGAATACAAAAATGTTCTTTCTAGGTGCTGGCACATCCAATATGGGTGCCTGTTTAGGTCTCAGCTGCTTCACCTCTTTAAAAAGACTTATTTATTTTTGTTGGAAAGTCAGATATACAGAGAGGAGGAGAGACAGACAGGAAGATCATTCATCTTCTGATTCACTTTCCAAGCAGCCTCAATGGCCAGAGCTGCGTTGACCTGAAGCCAGGAGCCTGGAGCCTCTTCTGGGTCTCACAAATGGGTGCAGGGTCCCAAAGCCTTGGGCTGTCTTCAACTGCTTTCCCAGGCCACAAGCAGGGAGCTGGATGGGAAGCAAGGCCTCAGGGATTAGAACCAGTGTCCATATGGAATTCCAGCGCATGCAAAGCAAGAACTTTAGCTGCCAGGCTACCGCACTGGGCCTTGCTGCTTCACTTTTGATCCAACTCACTGCTAATGTGCCTGGAAAAGCAACTGATAATGGCCCAAGGCAATGGGCCCCTGTGTCTGTGTGGGAGACCCAAAAGAAACCCCAGACTCCTGACTTCAGACTGCCCATCTCTGACTGCTGCAGCCATCTGGGGAGTGAACCAGCCAATGCAAGATGTCTCTCTTTCTCTCTTTCTCTCTCTGTAAATCTGCCTTTCAAATTAAAAAGAAAAAAAAAGATAATTTTTGTGAGCAGATTTATTATTATTATTATTGTTTTTTGATACAGTTAGTTGGTTCTGGGCTCTCCCTTCCCTCTGCTCCAAGTTCCCTCCCCTCCCCTCTCTTCTCCCCCCTCCAATCTCACAGTGTGTGAATTTTCCCAAGTCCATCATGCTGCCGCTGGCGTGTCTCCCAACTATGTAGCAAACTGTCATTCCGTTCTGAGATCATTCCTGTATCCTAGGGCCCTGATGTAGGCACAATGAGGATTAGATCTTCATTATTTTTGGACAGTACCAATAACAGTGATAAAAGGGACACTGACCATCTCAGGTGAGTATAAACAATCAGCCTCTGATGGATGGTTGATTAATGAATTACATCACCAACATCTTATTACAGAAAATATAATAAATATATATATATTTTATTGTTAGTAACATTGTATTATGTGAAACAGTTTTGTAGGTATTGGGATTCCCCCCACCCCTCCCACAACCCTCCCTCCATGGTGGATTCCTCCACCTTGCTGTATAACCACAGTTCAGGTTCAGTTGAGATTCCTTCATTGCAAGCATATACCCAGCATAGAGTCCAGCATCCTATTGTCCAGACAAGCCCAGTGGCCTCTTGGGGCGACCCTCCCTGGTCTGAGGGCAGAGCTAACAGTGTAAAGTCCCGGTCAGTTAAAAGCCCCAACAAAACATCAGCAACAATATACAGTGTCATGGAATTAATTGACATAGTATTGAGTAGACAATATGTGGATAATGGCTCAAGGCCTTGAGTACCTGCCCCCCGTGCGGGAGTCCTGGATGGAGTTCCTGGCTCCTGGCTTCTGCTGGGCCCAGATCTAACCATTGTGACCATTTGTGGAGTGAACTGGTAGATGACAGATAATGCTCTCCCTTACCCATTCTCTCTCTCTCTCTCTTGCTCTGACTCTCAATCACTCTGACTTTTAAATAAGTAAGTCTTTTTTTTTTTTTTAGGGATATGATATCATAATGTCTGTAGTATTTATTGTTAAAATAATAGAATTTACATTACTGGATTAAAAGGTGATTGTTATGGATAAAGAAAGTTTTTTTTTGTATTTTGGGTTAGTCTTGCCTTACAGATAATATTTCTTGACAGTTTACTATGTCCAACCTTCAGAGACTGATGGAGAATTAGCTTTTCCTAGTAAACCTGCAGCCCACACAGCACAGTAACTTCACTCAGCAGGGGAAGAGAACTGTCCACAGCCGAAAGCCGGGCTGGCAGAGCAGGGGCTGCACTCTCCGCCTGGCCTCTGACCGCTCGACTCCGCGCCATCCCTTCTCGCAACAGAAACTCAAAGTTGACTTATGCTATATGCCTTCATTCAGGCTATCAGCATTTTTAAGTGGTATACATTTATTGGAAATTTTGTTTGCTTTGTCATGTTTATCTCTTGGGTTTTCTGGTGAAGGAAGAGTACAATTGCCTCATTTCAAAAACAATTTGTAAATGTATTTGTGCTCTAGTGTTATGATAACGAATACAGTGACAAGGGAAAGAAAAAATGGTCTTTTGTAATTTCATAGCCGGGTCTCAAGGGTTCCCCCCTTTCAATCTGGGCCCTCTCCCCAGTTGCTGAGATCACAGCTGTTCCAACCCTGCTTCCAAAAGGAAGAAAGGACCTCTACCACACTGGTTTGAACTGGTTTGGACTCATTCTGTCCAGAGCACATATGTGTAATCAAGGTGGTGATCATCTTATAGGGTCAGAAGACACCTTGGGGTCTCTCCAGTATGACGAACACATAAAACAACCTATCCATGGGGCTGGCGCCATGGTATAGTAAGCTAAGCCCCCACCCGAAGAGTCAACATCCCCTAAAAATGCATGGGGTTCATGTTCCAGCTGCTCCATTTCCAATTCAGCTTCCTGCCGATGCGCCTAAGAAAGTAGTGGAGGGGCAGACCAAGTCTTTGGTTCCCTACACCAATGTGGGAGACCTGAAGGAAGCTCCTGGCTCCTGGCTTCTGAATAGCTCTACTCTAGCCATTGCAGCCATCTGGAAAGTAAGATCGCTCTGTGTCTCTCTTTCTCTCCCTCTAACTTTGTCTTTCAAATAAGAATAAAATTCATTTTTAAAGATTTATTTTTATTATTTTTTCATTGGAAAGGCAGATATACAGAGAGGAGAGACAGAGAGGAAGATCTTCCGTCCGATGATTCACTCCCCAAGTGAGCGCAACGGGCCTATACTATGCCAATCCGAAGCCAGGAGCCTCTTCCGGGTCTCCCACGCGGGTGCAGGTTCCCAAAGCTTTGGGCCGTCCTCGACTGCTTTCCCGGGCCACAGGCAGGGAGCTGGAAGGGAAGCGGGGCTGCCGGGATTAGAACCGGCGCCCATATGGGATCCCGGGCGTGCAAGGCGAGGACCTTTAACCACTTGCGCCACCGCGCCGGGCCCATAAAATTCATTTTTAGAAAAAAGAGTTTCATGACTGTTCCTGAGCTCACCAGGATCTCCTCCCTCATCTGTCTTGAGTGAGTCCACATCCTAAAATGCAGCGTGCGCTACACCAAACCTCCACCTGCACGGTGCTCACGCTGGTTCCTTTCTCAGATCTGGCCACGCCCAAAGGAGGCAGGAGACTCTTCCAGATATCAGGAGGAGCCCCCGGTGGGAGCGGCTCTGGCTGCGACTCCCTCTGCCCTTGCCCGCACCAGGTTGCAGAGCGAGCATGGCGGCCCTGCAGGACTCCGGAGCCCCCTGGATGACCACATTCATGCTGTCCTTGGCCGTGCTGTGCTCCCCTCCAGCTCAAGGCAGAGACCTGCCAGGTGAGTGCAGAGCTGCTGCCCTCAAAGCGCCAGGCTCAAGGGAAGGATGCTGGGACCCACGGGAAAAGGCTGTGGGGTCATGGCCTACAGCCCCATCAGAGAAGAGATCGGTGGGGGTGGGTGTCTATTGGGTACAATGTAGCCCATGTCTGGAGCGACTGTGGGGGTAAAGTTCTCAGAGAGGGCCATCTGGATGGAATGTCAGCATCAAAGTTGGGAAACAAGCAATCATGGTTAGTGTGGGAGCACAGAGACCCCAGGATCAGGGGGAGGACCAGGGCTGCCCGGGACAGGGCCAGCACACTGCTAGGAGCAGAGGAGGCCAGCGCAGGCAAGCTAAGGGCACAGTGCCTGGGATCCTTACCCAGACCAAGGGTCCTTCACCCCAGAACCTGAGCAGAACACTGGAGGAGAGGGCAGGGCAGAAGAGAAGAGTAGAACTGCCACCTGGCCCTGCTGCTCCTGCATGGCCCCCTCAACACGACAACTTCCGGGTTCCTGTATCAGACCCTCACGGCACCTCCTAACATCTGCTTTCACTTCACAAGGACCACATGAAGCACAGCAGGGATGGGCATAGTCAACTGCCAACTTCCCTGTCTCCGTCCATAAATCAAGCCACTGCTTCCTCTTCTTCCCCAACTTCCCAAGTTGTCCAATAACATTTGAAACTCTCAAATTAACCTGCCCAAACAGCCCCCTGCCTTAACTCATTTCTCACATAGAGAGGAAAGGACACTTTAATTTTAGAGATGTTGAACTTGAAGGATGAAAGAGAGATAAGGACCTTCTACCCACTGGTTCATTCCCCCATTGGTCCAGGTGGGAGTTAGGAGATAGGAGCTTCGTCTGCCTCTCCCACGTGGGTGCAAGGGCTGAGGAACCCAGGCCATCCTCCACTGCTCTCCCATGTGCATCAGCAGAAAGCTAGATCTGAAGTGGAGCAGCCGGGCCTTGAACCAGCTCTCCAATATGGGATATTATATCACAAGATAGCTCCAGTAAACGAGATCTTTTTTTTCTTTGACATTTGTTACTGGGAGGAGCAGAGAAGGCAGCAGGGCAGGCCAGCTGTTCAGCTTGTGCCTGTGGATGGAGAAGAAATGGATTCATGTGCGTCCTGGAGGAGGAGGGGCTGCGAGATGGGGCCAAGTCACACAGGGCAGGGAGAAGCCACCGCGCAGGAGGGGGAGGGGAGATGTTCTAGGGAACAAGAGCCACATTGTTCCAGCAGAACACCTGGGGAAGTGGGCCATGAGACTCCCGTGGGTGCCAGAGAGCAGGGTGGGGAAGGGAGAAGGGAAGACAGGGATTAGAAAGAGGAATGAGATGAGTCCTGGGCCGCGGGGCAGGTGGATGTAATGGGCTGGCACGGCCCACTGGTTCCTTCTTCCACTTCCAACCCCCCAGTATTTCTTCCACTCCCAACAAAGGAAGTCAGAGTGGGGAGGAGCAGAAAGGCAGGGCTGGCCCCTGGGGGCCTGTGGGGGAGCTGAAGCGCAGAGACCACATCGGCAGGTGATGCACGGTGGAGTCCCCGGCTACGGGAGACACAGATCAGGGACACAGAGGTCCAAGCTGGGGGAAGCATGTACGGGTGACATTCCCCACCCAGCACTGGGCCTCCTGCATACCACACCACCAGGGCATGGGAAGCCAGGGGCGCTCAGCTCTCCTGCACTGCTTCCCTCCCCCGTAATAGGAACCAGGGCTGAATCTCCCCTTCAATGCAGACACTTGGCCCCGGCAGCTCAGTTGAACCATTCCAGACACTCTGCTCCAAAGATTTCTTTGTACTTTCTGGGCAGTTCTTCAAGATGGGGGGGAAAAAAATCTAAATAATGAGAATATTCCTTTTTAGTAGGCGACCACGGTCAACCCCTCGGGCGTGGCCCAGGCGGCCGGTCAGTGGCTGTCTTTGCATCTCTAGAGTAACTCCTTGTGCTTAACAGAGCTGTTAGGGAAAGCCAGCGGTTTACAGCCCTGAGTTCGAGCCTTGCCCCTGGAATGTCCAGGCACTCTCCAGAGTAGAGTTTTCAGGAAATGCTAGTTTGCCAGAGCCCTCGGTGGCATACCATATAGCTGCTATGCAGTGAGGGTTTAACTGAGGAGGAAGAGGCAAGTGCTTTAAAAGGAAAACAAAGAAAAAAAATCAACTGCTATGCAAGGCTAACAGCAATGTGTCCGGAATGAAGAGCCGGCAAGGGAACCTGTCAGCTGAGACAAAAGTGAGGTGATCTGGAATGCACAGCAGAGCCAGGCAGGAGAAAGCAGAGGTTCCCCGAGGCTCTCGGCTGAGCTGGCACAGCCTGGGCTCCGGGGCAAGGCAGAGGAGAGAGATCCGGAAACAGGGCTCCCCAGGGCACCAAGAGTGTGCAGCCTACCGGCCCCCAAGGGTCAGGGCAGCCAGGGGGTGACAATGCTGTTCACCAGAGCGCTGCGAGGTCACCCGCAGGCCCTGGGCTGCGCCTCTTGGCAAAACCTGCCAGCCTGCCCTGCGATGACTGACTCGTGGAATGCGACCAAAGAGCTGGAGGGGAGAGAGGGGAGAGAGGGGAGAATCCCCGCCTGCTGCAGGTGGACAAGGGGCGCTCTGCGCTCCCAGGTGGCTTGAGCCCCAGAGTGTGCGCGGGACTGGAGCGGGCTGGAGGGCAGAGGAGCCGGGGTCGGGGAGCCAGGGCAGGCGCAGGCGATGGTGAGCTAAACGCCACCCGCCCGCGCAGAGCTGTACGTGTACCAGCGGAGGAGCGACTGCTTTGAGTCCAATGGGACGCACCGCTTCTTGGAGCGCTACGCCTACAACAAGGAGGAGATCGTCCAGTTCGACAGTGCCGTGGGGACGTTTCAGGCCGTTTCTGAGCTGGGCCAGGAGACGGTCAAGAACTGGAACATTCAGCAGGAGTTCCTGGCGATGAGGCGAGGCGCTGTGGACACGGTGTGCAGACACAACTACGAGCTCGACCGGGCTTTCACCCTGACGCGCCGAGGTGAGCGGGCATGGGAAGACAAGCCGCCCAAACGGTGCCCGAAGGAGGGAGAGACCCTGGCAACCCCTCTATGGAATCCGACCCCTTCCGACGGGAAAGGGTTGAGGGTGGTGGGTCTGTGTCTCAGCTTGTGTGTGTTTGTTCTGTGCTGGTGGCCAAGAACGGGACACAGCTGCTGTTGAAGTATAGCACGAACTGCCCCGTTCCCTAAGTCAGGATTTCTAGACCCAAGGTCCAAGGAATGACATTGGCTGAATACAGAGGGAGTCTGGCTCCAGGATGGTCTCGGTGGGATTGTGTAACCTTCTTGGTTGATTATTTCTGTGTAAGGATGCTGGTTGGTAGCAGGTTGTCTGGCTGGTTCCGAGCCCTTCTTGCTCTTCCAGCCTCAATACTTGAATGTCATATTCTGTTTCCTGCCCCGGTTGCCATCCTCTGTCTTCACATGGCTTAGAGGGTGATTGTTTCCCACCTAGAAATCCGTTTTCTGGGGGAGGTAGCTGAGTGCTCAGGTTTGGCTGCCTTGTTGACCTAACAAGCTTCTGTCCCCCACTCCCAGTCCGGCCCAAAGTGAACGTCTCCCCCTCCAAGAAGGGGTCCTCGCAGCACCAACACCTGCTCGTCTGCCACGTGACAGATTTCTACCCAGGAGACCTTCAAGTCCGGTGGTTCCTGAACGGACAGGAGGAAACCGACGGGGTCGTGTCCACCAACCTGATCCGGAATGGGGACTGGACCTTCCAGATCCTGGTGATGCTGGAGATGAACCCTCGTGCGGGGGACGTGTACACCTGCCACGTGGAGCACCCCAGCCTAGACAGCCCCATCACGGTGGACTGGAGTGAGTGACTCGTGAGTTCCCAGTGGGAACTCCGGGCTTGGGGGTCCACATGTCTGCACCTTTGGTTTAGCATCCCAGCCTCTGCCCCACCATGTGTACCCTAACCAACCCCTCCCTGGCTGTTGTCTGGGCTGGGAGCACAACAATTTAGTGATTCTGTCACATGCATGTGTCCCTGTCCTGAAGACGCCTAGAAAATCTCTCCTTATCAGAAAATTTCAAAAAGGTGGTTCCCCTCCAGGACTGACCTTTAGACATGGGAATGGGCCTCTGCTCTCAGCCCATGACCTTGGGAGACTGATCTGAGGGCTAGTGGCTAAAGGCTGCAGCTGGCTCCGGGATAGAAGCCACCCTGAGACCCGGAGCCTCTAGCCTCAACTGCTCCCCGTAGCTGCCCCTTCTCCACTGGTCCCACACGTGGCCTCACCTCTCTGTCTGCTAGGTCAGGCCTCAGGCTGTCAGGCAAGGCACAGGAGCCACGGCAAGCTGGGGTGACTGACTGTGGGCCTGTCCTTCCCAGAGGCGCAGTCTGACTCTGCTTGGAGCAAGATGCTGGCTGGAGTCCTGGGCTTGGTGCTGGGGCTCGTCTCCCTCCTGCTGAGCCTTGGCCTCCGTTTTAGAAGCCGGCCAGGTGAGAAGAATGCCTTTCCTGCTTATCCTTTGGTGATGAAGTCAGAATAGGCCAGCACCCAGCAGTCCCTGGAAGTCAGAGCCGAAGAAGGCCAGGACGGCCCATGGGGCAGGGAAGGACGCCCTGAGTGAGACCCTGGACCAGTGCAATGGCTGAGCCTCCCGGCTCCGTGTCCTGCGAGTGTCCGTTCACGTGTAGGGAGGCTGACACCCGCAGATGGCCCCCAGCGCTCGTTCCCAGTGACATGGGGGGCCAGAGGCAGGTGTTTGTGCTCACTGAGCATCCCTACTACAAAATCCCAATCTCCAAAATACTCCCAAATTGGAATCTTTCTGAACATTGGCATGACACGTGTAAAAAATTGCACATCTGACCTCAGGTGTGGCAATTTTGTGCATAGGTTTATTAAAAGCATCATATAAAATTATCTTCAAACTATGTGTGTAACATATACATGAATTTTGTGTTTATATTTGGATTTCATTCCCCAAACTATCTCATTACATGCATACGAGTACTCTAGATTTTTTTTGGTCGGAGGGGCAGGGGCAGGTACCTCAGGTAACAAATCTTTTAAAAATTCTAAATTCTAATCACTGAGGCCCCAACCACTGTGGATAAGTGATATTCCACCTGTATGATTTTTTTCTAAGATCTCATTCTTTGTTTTTTTCAATGATTGACCACATATTTCCTTTTGCTTTTGTTTCAGGGCAACGAGGACTTCAACCGACAGGTAATTTTTCCTTCTTATTATTCCTCTTCTTTTTTTTTTTTTTTTCCTTAATATGACAGAACTTCTTTTTTTATTTTTACTTTGAATTTTTTATTTTTATGGTATAATTCCGTAGAATCTGGGATTTCCCCCCTCCCCAAATTCCCATCCCAGACTTATTTTCCCCATGTTGTTACATAGTACGGTCCTTCATAAGGAGCAGAACTTCTTTCTTTTGGGTCATTCCTCAAAGCCCACGGTGGCTGTGAGCCAGGCTGAGGCCAAAGCCAGGAGCCGGGAACTCAGTCCAGCTCTGTCACGCGGGTGTCAGGAACCCAGTTCCTGGAGCCATCATCACTGCCTCCTGGGGTGTGTGCACTGGCCGGAAGCAGAGGCAGCAGCTAGGGGCAGGAACTGGGCACAGGTGTTCTGGTCAAGGACACGGGGGTCTTAGCCACTGGGCCGCACACCCACCTGGGGGGTATTTCTGCTTCCTTCTTCCTTCTTCGTAAGATGAGTGTGTGGGCATCTGGAGCATACCTTGTATTCAGGACGCGCCCAAGGGTGAGCATGAACTCCCAGAGGTTGCCCCCTAGCCCACTTTAAGCTATGGAAGGTGTCAGCGGCGAGCTGTACTTGGCCTCATTGCAGGAGGAGCCCCAGAAAGGCCATCCCAGTGTCAGAGGGGCCAGCACGTGGCCCCTCAGAAAGCCCTTCCTTCCTGGGCCCCTAGAGGGGAAGGAAGGGCAGTCTCTGAGGTCCGAGGCTTCACTGTGGTTTCCCATCCTTCTTCGCAGGGTCCTTGAGCTGAGGCTGTCTGCTGTCCTGCTACCCAGCGCTCACCGGCCCCAGGAGGCGACAGCACAGCAACTCTGTGCCCCCAACCCCGCCTGCTGCCTCTGCATCCTGCTCTGATGTGCTTCCTGCTTCTCAAGTTCTCCAGGCTCCGGAGTGCTGCCTCAGTTTGTATCACCATCTTCCTTTCTCCTTCAAGGGAGACAGCCCTGCTGAGGCTTGAAGAGTTTGGGGTTCATTTGGTTCAGAGAAAAACTCGGGGAGACATCACTATTGTCTCGCTCAGGCCTGGAGAAATAAACTTAAACTTCTTGATGGTGACCAGGGCTCCGTGTTGAGTACGAGGGCGGCTGACAGAGGACTCCTAACATTGGCTTAGTTTCATTGTAGATGTCCAGGTCATTTCGTGTCCTCCCAGCAAGGAGGCGAGCCATTGCCCCAATAACCCCAGACAGAGCAGACGCTGACCCTGCCACTGAAGTCATACTGAGCAGGGTTTACTATGGGATTTGCTCACTCAACCACACAGGCTCAGAAGGCCTGCACGTGGCACCTGCAGGGTGGGGAGCCGGGAAGTCAGTCAGCACACAGCTCAGGCCGAATCCAGAAGACTGTCCTGCGTCTGTTGGCTCTGCCTGCTCCCTCGGCCGTGGGATGGCACCTGCTCACCTTGCACAAGGGAAGACCCTCCTTCCTCAGCCTGCTCATTCAAACACTACTCCCTTTAGGAAGCCAGCACAGTGAACCCAGAGACAACGCCTCATCAGCTCCCGTAGTCTCGCCTAGTCCACTCAAGGTGGCACCTAAACTTAACCATCCCGGAGCTGGCCACGTAGGCACCCTGTGCTTGGAACACAGCCAAGTGACAGAACCCCAGAGGGAAGTGGGTGCTCAGCATAAAGCACCTCATTCACACAGTGGGGCGCGGCCACTCCTGTCAGGCCTGGGGGTGGAGAGATCCTTGCTGCCACCCCACTCAGAGCTCTGCCCTCCCAGACACCTGCCAGCACTGCTGCGCTAACTCTCCCACCCAGGCCCAGCTGCCTGTTGGTGTTGAGTGTTTAAATTACATGGTATTCTTTTCTATCAAGGAAAGTCCTGTATCAGCACAAAAGGCATTTAGAATCCTTTCATGGAAACACGGGTCATTCAGAAAATTCATAGAACTACTTTTGATTCTATGATTTTTTAATATAAATGTACTATGAGGACTATTAGCAATTAAGTGAGTTTTTTTAAGATTTATTTTTATTGGAAAGTCAGATATGCAGAGAGGAGAAGCGACAAAGAGGAACATCTTCCATCTGCTTATTCACTCCCCAAGTGGATATAACAGCCGGAGATGAGCTGATCTGAAGCCAGGAACCAAGAAATTCTTCTAGGTCTCCCATGCAGGTGCAGGGTCCCAAGGCTTTGGGCCATCCTCAACTGCTTTCCCAGGCCACAAGCGGAGAGTTGGATGGGAAGCAGGGCGGCCAGGACATGAACGAGCACCCATATGGGATTCCAGCACGTTCAAGGTGAGAACTTTAGCCACTAGGCTACCGTACCAGACCCTTGAGCCAGTTTTCAAAACTTAAACTAAGGAAGCAAATAGGAGTATTCTGTGAACTTTCAAATTTCTGCTCAAGGCCATAAGACATGATACAAACTTCCTAATTTAGGATACTTATTGTAATGGGAGAAGCTCATCCCTCAGTGTCCCAAATGAAAGAAGTTAAAATCAGATATAACCATTGCAAATCATTTTGATTAAAAAAGAAAAATAAATAAGTCTTACTTTGTTCCCAGCCAACTTGATAGTCATGGAGTTTGACTATGAGCACACCTCACATTGCCTGCTCTGCCTAAGAGAACTGTCACTGTTGGGATTTCAAGAAAGAAGAAGGACCCGGCACGATAGCATAATGGTTAAGGTCCTTGCCTTGAACGCGCTGGGATCCCATATGGGTGCCGGTTCTAATCCCAAAGGCTCCACTTCCCATCCAGCTCCCTGCTTGTGGAGGGCAATTGAGGGCTCTTCCTCTCTGTTTCTTCTCCTCTCTGTATATCTACCTTTCCAATAAAAATAAATAAATCTTAAAAAAAAAGTCTTATTTGTTAAAAAAAAAAAAAAGACAAAGAAGAAACACACAGAGAAGCAGCTTCTTCAGCAGTGGGCCGGGAGGCGGAGTTTATAATCCTTGAAGTTTATCCACTGTTATCTTGAGGAACAGGTGTTATAGCACCAAGGGTTATGCCCCCACTTGGGATGCCCAGCTCCAATTGCAGAGTACCTGGTTTGAGTCCCAGCTCCTCCACTTCAGATCCAGCTCCCAGTGGATGCATCCTGAGAGGCACCGCATGGTGACACGGTCTCGGGCCCCTGCTGCCTCCCAGAGACCCAGGCTCTGATCTTGCCCGGGCCTGGCTCTCTCAGACATATGGGGAGTGAACCAAGAGATGGATTATACATTTCCCCATACCTTGTCTACCTTCCAGGAAGATAAAAATATATAAACATATAAAAATATTTATTATCTTAAGTCTTAAAGTGATTTCACTTAAAAACCATTGGGTCCTGAGGAGTCCACACTCGGTTTTATGGGACAGTCTGGGCAGGAGATGGAAGCTTCCCTGGACCTCTGAGACCTCCTAACCTGGAGGTGTCAAGGTGCAGGCATGAAGCTGGGGTCACTCTGAATTCTCACGTCAAGTGTGGCTGTGACGCTTTGGTCTGGTGAGGCTGATGGAATCTCCTAGAAACATGGGTGCGTAAATCATTTAGTACATTTCCCTGCTCCTTTCCCAATGAAAAGCTTCAGGGAATTAAAACTTTGGGCTGTTTTTAATTCTCACGAGAAATATTCTGAAGTTTTTGAAAGCCGGACTACCTGTTCCAAAACCATCAAAGCTTCAAGTTTTAGAGGATACTAAATAGGATCCCAGCTCCACCTAGTGGTCAAAAAATGAAATTTGGACTTGAAACAAGAATAAGGGAATTTTCCAACAACTTGGGAATACTGCAACACTGAAAAAAGGTGTGCAAAACAGCGTGAGTCAAGCTGAGTATGACCACACAGATAAGCTTTGAGGCACCGTGTCTTCTGTGGCTTTGCTGTTCTTTTCACGGTGACTGTAAAAACATGCTAAAGTTGTCCTATTGAAAACACACACGTACTAATAAATAGACCCCTGGAATAGAACACCCAGAACTTGTCCATGTTTTATTTTAAAAGCACCTGATTTTTGATGAAGGCACCAAGAGCATATGTTGGAAAAAGGATCATCCATTTGCTGCATTGAACTAGAAATACGTGTAAGAATGCAAGGTTCCTGCCTGTCACCACATACAGGAACCAATCCCAGGTGGACCACAGCCCTCAGCGTGAGGCCTGAAGGGACACAACTCCCAGAAGGAAACAGGGAACACTTCATGATGCTGGTGTAAAAAATGATTTTTTTTTAAAGATTTATTTATTTTTATTGGAAAGTCAGATATACAGAGAGGAGAGACAGAGAGGAAGATCTTCCGTCCGATGATTCACTCCCCAAGTGAGCGCAACTGGGCTGTGCCACGCCGATCCAGAAGCCAGGAGCCATCCTCCAGGTCTGCGACATGGATGCAGGGTCCCAAAGCTGCCTCCTCGACTGCTTTCCCAGGCCACAGGCAGGGAGCTGGAAGGGAAGCGGGGCTGCCGGGATTAGAACCGGCGCCCACATGGGATCCCGGGCATGCAAGGCGAGGACCTTTAACCACTTGCGCCACCGCGCCGGGCCCGTAAAAAATGATTTTTTAGATAAGATCCCAGTGTGGGAGAAAAAGTTACTTAGCCACAAAAAAAATGGATTAATAACTAAACTATATCAGGAAATCCAAAATAACAACAACAGAAAAACAACAATCCAGTTACAAAATTGGAAAAGATAGGGCTGCTGTGATGGCTCAGTTGGCTGATCTTCCAGCTGCTCCACTTCCCATCCAGCTCCCTGCTTGTGGCCTGGGAAAGCAGTCAAGGACGGCCCAAAGCCTTGGGACACTGCATCTACATGGGAGCCCTGGAGGAGCCTCCCAGCTGGCCATTGCAGCCATTTGAGGAGTAAGCCAACAAATGGAAGATCTTCCTCTTTGTCTCTCCTTCTCTCTGTAAATCTGAGCTGCCTTCCCAATAAAAATAAATAAATCATTATAAAAGGGTCTTACACAATAGCCTAGTAGTTATTGGCAATAGATGAATTGATGCCCAGAAAGTCTTTGACTTTCATGTGCCAGGATCCCATATGGGCATTGGTTCGAGTCCCAGCTCGCTGTTTGTGACCTGGGAAAGTAGTGGAGGGTGGCCCGAGGCCTTGGGACCCTGCACCGGCATGGGAGACCTGGAAGAAGTTCCTGGCTGCTGGCTTCAGATTGGCTCAGTTTTAGCCATTGCAGCCACTTGGGGAGTGAACCAGCAGACAGAAGATATTTCTGTCTCTCCTTCTCTCCATAAATCTGCCTTTCCAATAAATATAATAAATTAATATTTTAAAAGAGAGAGAGAGAAAGAAAAACCCATGCATGGATTTCAAAAGGTTTTTGCACGTCATCCTTGCACAAGGACCATGCTAATCTCTGTATCGTTCCAATTTTAGTATATGTGCTGCCAAAGCGAGCACTCAAAAGGTTTTTTACATCAATATAAAGTTTATTTTTCATTGTATAACAGAGTGTATTCTTTGCCTCAAGAGTTGCCTTGGGGTCCTGGGGTTTCAGATACAATCTGAGACTATGGGGCAAGGACCACTCGTAAAGGCGCGTGTTCCCTGTGTTCTGTGATTTAGTGTTCATGATCAAATGAACTCAACAAAATTCCCAGTGGTGGAATCTTGACACGCTGTGTGCTAGGCTTATGCTAACAGTCCAGTTCACATTTTCATTAACACTTCAAGGTTCATGTTTGGGGCCCAGGGGCATGGCCTAGCGGCTAATGTCCTCGCCTTGAATGTGCCAGGATCCCATATGGGCGCCGGTTCTAACCCCAGTGGTCCCGCTTCCCATCCAGCTCCCTGCTTGTGGTCTGGGAAAGCAGTGGAGGACGGCCCAAAGCCTTGGGACCCTGCACCCACGCGAGAGACCCGGAAGAGGCTCCTGGATCCTGGCTTCAGATCGGCATAGCATTGACCGTTGCGCTCACTTGGGGAGTGAATCATTGGACGGAAGATCCTCCTCTCTCTCTCCTCCTCTCTGTGTATCTGACTTTCCAATAAATAAATAAATCTTTTAAAAAAAAAAAGGTTCATGTTTGTGTCTATACTAAATGTAGAGAAAATCAAACAGCCATCTAATGCTTACAGTTCCCATTTGTAATTTATTTTCTTTTTTTTTAAGATTTATTTTTATTATTTTTTCATTGGAAAGGCGGATATACAGAGAGGAGAGACAGAGAGGAAGATCTTTCGTCCGATGATTCACTCCCCAAGTGAGCGCAACGGGCCGATGCTATGCCAATCCGAAGCCAGGAGCCTCTTCCGGGTCTCCCACGCGGGTGCAGGGTCCCAAAGCTTTGGGCCGTCCTCGACTGCTTTCCCAGGCCACAGGCAGGGAGCTGGAAGGGAAGCGGGGCTGCCGGGATTAGAACCGGCGCCCATATGGGATCCCGGGCGTGCAAGGCGAGGACCTTTAACCACTTGCGCCACCGCGCCGGGCCGTAATTTATTTTCTTGAATACTTTTTTCATAGGTACTTAAGAAAATTTTTAAAATTTAAAAATTTAAAAACAGAAAAATAAATATATCTTAAATGTTTTTAAAAAAAGGTTTATATTTATTTATTTTAAAGCAGGGTGGCTAGGGGAGAGAGAACAGACAGATCTTACATTTGCTGATTCACGCTCCAAATATCCACAGCAGCCAGGGCTGAGCCAGGCAAAAGCCAGGAGCCAGAGATTCCATCCAGATCTCCCACGTGGATGACAGGAACCCAGTCCCAAAACCTCCCTGCTGCCTCCCGTGCTCGCAGAAAGCTGGCTTGGGAGCCGGGTGGCCAGGACTTGAACCTGCTCTGTGATACGAGATGTGGCACAAAGTGGTGCTTGGCCACTGAGCCACGCACCCATTTCTCCCTGAGCTTCCTGTAGTGCCCTGACATTTACTGGTGTACCAACACAATCGTAAACATCACTTTGAAGTGTTTGGGAAGGGTCAGGGCCCAATTGCCAAGGGCACCCAGGATTCCCAGCATGCTAAACAATGAAGCAGCATGGGTCCGGTGCGGTGGCACAAGTGGTTAAGGTCCTCGCCTTGCACGCCTGGGATCCCATATGGGCGCCGGTTCTATCCTGGCAGCCCCGCTTCCCTTCCAGCTTCCTGCCTGTGGCCCGGAAAAGCAGTCGAGGACGGCCCAAAGCTTTGGGACCCTGCACCTGCGTGGGAGACCCGGAAGAGGCTCCTGGCTTCGGATTGGCATAGCATCGGCCCGTTGCGCTCACTTGGGGAGTGAATCACCGGACGGAAGATCTTCCTCTCTGTCTCTCCTGTCTTTATATCCGCCTTTCCAATAAAAAAATAATAAAAATAAATCTTAAAAAAAAAATGAAGCAGCAAAGCCCAGCCTGGCAGAGGGGATGGAGAGCTCACATCAAAGCCATGTGACTAACAGAGTGCGTGGGGTGTGCACCTGCCAGCACAAAGGCACCAGTAGGACTGTGCTGGGTACATGTAAGCCAAGGTCAGCTGAGTGGGAAGTAGGGGAGGCGATGCCAGCAGCCGTGCTTGGGGTATCTCAGTATCCCTGGGCCATCTGGGCACAGTGCTCCCAGCAGCCTCCATCCCGTCTGCTCACAGGTGACCTGGAGTCTCAGTCAGTGGGGAGGTAACCTAGGACAGGCCAGCCCACTATCTCCCAGAGGCTGGCTGTGGGGCCCAGGGCCATGGTGCCCAGGGGAGCTCTGTCCAGTGCCATTGCAGCCACATTGCAGGCGACTCACTGCAGGAACTCTTGAAATTTTCTCTTTAAGGATTGATTTATTTATATGAAAGGCAGAGTTACAGAGCAAGAGGGAGAAGCAAAGAGAACCTTCTATCCACTGATTCACTCCCCAAATGGAGCTTCATCATGGTCTCCCACGTGGGTGCAGGGGCCCAAGGCCTTGGCAGACCTCCACTGCCTTCCCAGACCATCAGCAGGGAGAAGAACGAAAGTGGAGCAATCAGGACTTGAACCAGTATCCATATGGGAGCCAGCCCCTCTCTCTTACTTCTGGGTTCAAGAGAACTCCTTTGAGAGACAGAGTTTTTCAAAACCCCATTCTCTTAGCAGAATTTATATTCAGGCCCCCACCTGCCCCCACCCCACATCGGACCCAAAACTTCTCCCACAGCCTCTATCTTGCTCTCTTTTGACCCCATTCGGGCACCTACATTGGTGCCACTGCCAGCCAGCATCCACCTGCCCAAATGCCAGGGCACTGCACCACCTCCCCATCCATCCCTGCCTATGCCAACTGTTGGAGTTCTGTCCTGAGCACTCATCCCACCCTTCCGTAGAGCCTGGGCCAGCTGCAAAGAGAGGCTGTGGGGCTGGCATCACCCACACAGGCTGGCACAGCCACTCACACAGCCATTGGGCGGGTGGTTGGCACTCGAGTTAAATAAACATTTGTGGATTGGCCCGAGGACCCAGTCACGCAGATACATGTTATTTGAATAACTGGGCATTTTCATGGAGAAAGGAAACCTAGTGCTTCCGGCCTGGGTGACCCCGGCAGCCTCCCCTCTCTGCCCTCCAGGGACGACCTCTGTGGATTTGGTGCCCACTGCCAAGGGCACGCTGTAAATTTCAGCCAGCTTGCTTGGCTGAGAGGATGTGGGCGAGGCAGGTGGCAGCGCCTGCGGAGGTCTGCCCTCTGGATCTGGGGCCTGGAAGGGAGGGGAGGAGGGCGTCTGAGGGGAAACGCTGACTCCTCACTGACCCCAGACACATGAGATGACTGGACCAGGGAGGCGTCCGCTGGTTCGGCCTCCCGCGGGTTTGCAGGGAGTGAGGGTTGGGAGGGCAGGGAAGCCGGGCAGAGGCGCTGGAATGACCGGGTCGGCAGAGACGCAGGGACATGGGAGGTTTTCCTGCCCGCCAGCCTAGGCGAGGCTGCACCTCCAGGCGCCCACGGGACGTCGGCGCGGTGCCAGTGGGCACCTCCGCCTGAGGGTTTCCACCGCTGGAACCCAAAGGCTTAGCACAGCCCAGGAAAGGCGGGGCACTGCCTGCCCAGCCCGGGATAGAGCACAGGAGGCAGCCTACTCTGCCGCACAAACGCCTTCTAGCATCCAGCAGGGAAGGGGCATTCAGGAGGAAAGAAGCCTGGGCATCAGTTCATCTATTGCCAATATGGGCGGGAGCCTGGCTGTGCTGAGTGCACCAGGATGCCCCATTCTGGGCCAGAGGCCAGCTCTGGACAGAGGGCTGAACCGCACATCTCCCCTGCAGCTGCTAAGTAAAGCCCCATAGCCAGGACAGCACAGGTAGCAGGGCTGTGGGGACAGCCCAGAGCGGGGAAGGGGAGGAGTGGGTCCAGCCTCTGCATCTCTCTCTCTCTTTTTTTTTTTATTGGAAAGGCGGATATACAGAGAGGAGAGACAGAGAGGAAGATCTTCCGTCCGATAATTCACTCCCCAAGTGAGCGCAACAGCCGATGCTATGCTGATCCGAAGCCAGGAGCCTCTTCCGGGTCTCCCACGTGGGTGCAGGGTCCCAAAGCTTTGGGCCGTCCTCGACTGCTTTCCCAGGCCACAGGCAGGGAGCTGGAAGGGAAGCGGGGCTGCCAGGATAGAACAGGCACCCATATGGGATCCCGGGCAAAGCGAGGACCTTAACCACTTGCGCCACCGCGCCGGGCCCCCTGTGCATCTCTATATAGGCACAATGTCCAGTCTCCGAGACGGACATGACCAGGTCTGGAAGGCTGACATTTGGGGACAGGACATGGCAAGGCTGCAGACAGAGGGAAGTGTGACCACGGGGTTGGTGTAGTGAAAGTGGACCTTGGTCCCCATTGTGTGAAGTGTTCAGACAAGCCCTAAAGACCCAAGCGGCAAGGGTTGTATTTGAGCTGGCACCAGGGAGGAGAGGCGTGCAGGAACAATCCCCCCGCCCCATGTGTGTGTGCCTCCTCATCTCAGCCCCAATGCTCCAGCACCACAGGACCCCAGGGAGCAGGGCCTGAGCCCTGCCTTTCTGGGTGATTCCTGGCAGCAGGGAGATGGAAATAACCACACACATCATGAGGAGACAATCACATTATTTCGCCATCAGTCAGAAGGGACACCAGGTTAGATGGGGTCCAGGGAGTCCCTGGCACCCACATGCCAGACAGGACCCCTTCAACTGCCCCCCAGGGTCAGGGAGCAGCTGGTTGACCAAAACGGCAGTGAGGTGCTCAGGCCATGGTGACTCACTTGCCAATGTGGGAGCATTTCCCTATGCACCCACCTGCTGAGAACTGACCCACACAGCCACTCACGACTCCTTTCCACCATGGACTGGTGGCCTGGCCAGACAGCAGGCAGGTCCTGCAGCTGCCAGACCAGATCAGGGTGTGTGGGCTGGGGAGGGAAGGAGCCCTGAGGCCAATAAGACCCTCTATCCCTGTGCTCACAGCAGCAGGTGCAACAGGCGGATGTAGGGAAGGTGGGTCCATCCCAGAACCCCACCCCCAATCACTAAGAGAAGCCCTGAGGCAAGGAGGGGGTCCCAGACCCACCCCAGACCCACATCTAAAACATCTGCTGGTTCGGATTGGCATTTCTCACTTTATCTTTTGTGTTATTTTGTTTTCCACTCTTTAAATAATTAATATAATTACTTTTAAATACAAAATACACAGTGTCCTTCCTCTTCTCTTCCACTTGTTTGGGGTGACGGGGAGGTGAGTTTTAAATAAGGGCTTCAGCACGCTAACAGGTCAGGGCTCCAGGTGGGAGGGCCGAGAGGCCCAGGAGCCAGCCCTCCGGGGGTGCCCTCCCTGGGCTCCTGGGGGACCCTCGGAGCTGAGGCCCCGGTTCCCAGGTGCTGGCACGGAGTGGCAGCTGTGGGCAGGTTCCCACGGGCGAGGTCCCCTGAGGAGGTCCTAGCCCATGAAGCACACAGGCCCCAGCAGCACCCCGCCCCGCCTTGCAGGGGCTCCCAGGTCCGAGAAGGAGGCGTCCAGCACGGGCAACTGCTCCAGCACAGGCGTGCGCACCTCCAGCACTGTCCGGCCTTGCTGCGTCTAGGGAGAGGGCAACACAGGGAGTGAGTGCAGCCGGGGCAGCTTCCATGAGCTGGTCTGCTCTGAGCACCTTCACCCCAGGAGAATGACCCCACCTGCACCTCCCTGCCTGTGTGTGCTTGCACCCGGGGTGCCTGTGGGGCTATGTGTAGAAACCCCCTGACTCAGCCCGTGTACGCCCGGGGTCACCCACCTGGACGGCTCACAGGGCAGATTCCATCCCTATCGGCCTCCTCACCCTGTCCGAGCTACCTGGGGCCTCTCTGACACCAGCATGGGGTACACTCCCTGCCCTCTTGCCCGCCCTGCCCTGCCCCCTTGCCCACGCTGCCCTGCCCCTCTCTCCAGCCTGTGTCTGGGCTTTGCCAAGCACCTGACAGCCGTCTCGGAATTCCTTGACATAGGGGCTGGTCTCAGGGCTTAGCTCGTCCTCGTTGGCTCCCCGGAGCCTCAGGGGCCCATCCCGGGAGGCCCCGGAGCACGGGTAGGAGACATCCTGGTGGGCGGAGACGCTGAGCAGCCGCAGGAAGGTGAGCTGCACCACACCCACTGGGGAGCCCTCTGCATCCACGTAGGAGAACTGCAGGACACGGGGCAGCCGGGGTCAGGGACAGGACAGGCAGGGGCAACCACGAGCATCTGCAGGGTGGCTGTGCCAGCAGCATGAGCAGACAGCAGGCCACATGGAAGGGTCAGAACTAAAGGGGTGGCCTGGGAGCCAGGGGCTGTGTGAAACAAAAGACAAGCTTTGTCTAGCAGAAGCAACCAAAGGAGCAACAGGGCCCTGGTAAGAGGGACAAGAAGAGCCTGGTGAGGCCAGCCAACTCTGTGGGGACAGGGACAGGAGCTGGCACCTATATCCCCCACACCCTGAGGAGATGCGGGGGTGATGCAGAGGAGGGACAGTCCAAGCCAGCAAGTCACCTTTGTGACGTCATCCCTGGGTGTCACACACGTTTCCCCTCCAGCCGTAAAGTTGCAGAAAACTCGGAAGGCGTCGCGGGCACAGCCCTGGTTGGGGTCAACCCAGTACTCTCCTGTCAGCCGAGTGACAGGGGAGGTTAGGGCTGATGGCCTGAGTCCTGAGGTGCTCTCTGTCCCCACCTGCCCTCTCCCCCCACGGCACCCTCTCCCAGTCTTCATGCCTCCACTCCCTAACCCCCCATCACCCTGCCGGCCCAGGGGCCCTGCTACAGCTCGCGCCTGACCGTCAGGCAGCTCCGGATGGCACAGCTTCAGGTCCTGGCAGGTGCGAGCCGGGCTGTCCTGGGTGCCCGTCGGCCGACGCATCTGTTCGATCTCCTCCCGCAGGGAGTCCAGTGAGCCAAAGATCTCCTCCAGCCCCCCAGGGGTTCCTGGGACGCCCCCAGTTGGTGTCGCCTCATCTTCTTGCATCAGGCGGCTGCCGTCCACTGAGCGGCGGGTCTTCTTGGGCATCTGGATGGGCAGCGGCTGGATCACCTCTCCTGGGGGACCCTGGTGGAGGGAAAGACAGAGAGGGTGAGGGGGGAGCATGGAGATGTGGGGTTCACAGACGGGGGACCCAGACCCTCACTCACCGGGTGTCCTGGAGGGCCCTGAACGCCCTTCTCACCCTTGGGTCCAGCTGGGCCCTGACAAAAGGGGTAGATGAGGTTACAGGGCAGCCAGGAGGGGACAGAAGGGGGTAGGCACTCCCCAGGGGCCATGGCTGTCCTCTCTGGCAGGGGAGGGCAGCAGGTGATGCTGGCAGGGGTCACTCACTGTGGCTCCTTTGGCTCCTTTGGGGCCAGCAGGTCCCTGTGAAACAAGGAGCAGGAACAGTCAGTGTGGGACAAGGGCCAGACGCAGAGGGAGGGAGGGGCCTGTGCTTGCTACAGGAGGGAATGCAGGGACACTGGGGAGGCCCTGCAGGTGCAGGGGAGGCAGCACCAGGGTTGTGAGCACAGATGGGGGACACTGAGGACCAAGGCTGGCTGACAGCCACTGGAAGGCACTGGAAGGTCACAGGAGGAAGCTGTGGGGTCTAGAGGACTCAGTAGAGGAACCAACAGGTACTCACAGGGAGGCCAGGGGGCCCTCCAGGGCCCATGGGACCAGATGCTCCTGGGATACCCTAAGGAGGGAAGAGCCACATTTAGCCTGGCCCTCCTCCCAGCTCCCTCTGAGTTGCTCATACCACATTAAGTCCCAACCCCCACTGTCCCCAATCCCCCATGAGTCCCCACCTCATGCCCCAGCCAGTCCAACCACGCCCTCTACTCACCGTCTCTCCCTTCTGTCCTGGGGAGCCCTGAGGCCCAGGAAGTCCCCGATCACCCTTCTCTCCCTGCTCCCCAGGGGGCCCTATCAGCCCAATGAGACCTGGGTGACCCTGCAGAAGGAGCGAGAGAGGAGTTGTACAAATGGGGAAGAAGAGCCAGGCAGGCCGGCAAGGGCCCAGGCACAGGGTCTGGGGTCACAGCACTTGCCACAAAAGCCCCCACTGAGTGGGGACCTCAAGGATGCACCTGTGACCCTCGGGGTGCCCGAGTGATGGTGACGGCACCCATCTGTCACTCACCTTCTCTCCTTTGGCTCCAGCATCACCCCGGAGTCCAGGAAGCCCTGGGGGTCCCTGTGGGGAGACAGGAAGTCACCATCTCCAAGGAAAGTGCTGCCCTCCCACACAGCCTCCCTCTTCCCCCAGGGCCTCACTTGACACCCACTGCCTCCTGCCCACCTCCACGGGGCCCAGTCCCTCTCACTCACCACAGGGCCAGGAGGTCCAGCTTGGCCCGTGGCTCCAGGACGGCCTTGTTGACCCTGCAATGCCCAGGGGACAGGGTCAGGGCGGGCATGCCCACACAACACCTGTTCCCCAGCCCTTCACCTGCCCCTCCATGTGCCCTGACTCACCACTGAGCCTGGCAGCCCCCGCAGGCCGTCAGGACCCGGCTTTCCTGCTGGGCCCGCAGGACCCACAGGGCCGGTCTTCCCCGGGGCGCCCACAGCCCCAGGATCCCCCTGAAACACAAACAAAGGCAGAGAAGGGGTATGAGGGGCAGCTATAAGTCCAGCAAGGCAGGGGTGAGGTGGGGAGCGAGGGCCAAGCCCTTCTGTCCCAGAGGCACTCAGCACAGGGGAGGCAGCCACAGTGCAGGCATCTGGAGGGCGGCAGGAATGTTCTAGTTTGGTGGCCCTGCCCTCACCTTAGCGCCCTTCTCTCCTTGTCGTCCCTCTGGACCAGGCGTGCCAGCAGGACCCTGCAGGGGCAGACAGGGAGGACAGAAGATGGGCCAGTCATCACACAACCAGGCTGGACCTTCTTGGCTCCTGTCCCCCGGGCACATGCACACACACATATGGGCACATACATGGGCACACACATGGACACACTCATACGTAGACACACTCCCATGTGAACACACTCACACATGAACACACTCATAAATGGACACACACACGGACACACTCACACAAGGACTCCCAGCTGGTGAGAATGGGCACAGCAGGACCGGTGGACACAGAGCTCTTCCATGCACTGAAGAGCTACTTGCCCACACCCTACCTAGAACCCTACCCCCAGCCCAGCCATGGAAAAGTGGCACCCCAGAAAAGTCAATTCCCTCCCTGGCATCACTGGCACACTCCGTTATCACCTGCCACTGCCCCGGAAGCCCGCCTTACTTACCCGCTTTCCAAGTGGTCCAGGTGGTCCATTCTCCCCAGTGGGACCAGGGGATCCCTAGGGAGGAAGTGAGGTAGCTGAGTGTAAGAGGGCTCAAAAGGGGGAGGGGTTTGAAGCTCAGCTGGGAGGGGGACCACTGGTCACTTACAGGCTGTCCGGGCTCGCCATCCTCCCCGCGGTCACCCTTAGCACCATCCTGGCCCTGTAGAGAAGCAGCAGGTCAGAGGTGAGCCCGATCCAGTGGGCAGTGTCCCTCCACCTGCCCTGCCTCCCCTGGCCTCCCGACACCCCAGCCCATCAGCCTCAGTAGACACACACACACACACAAGTCCCACCCTCTTCACTCCACCCCTCCCTGGGGAAGACTTACCCGAGGGCCAGCTTCTCCAGGGGGGCCAGGGTCACCAGGGAAACCAACAGGCCCCTAGTCCAGAGAGAGGAGAGTCAGGGTCCCAGCTCCCACCAGGACATGCCACCCCCTCCCTCCGTGCAGGCTGTGCCCACTGGCACCACCACAGGAAGAGTGTCTCCACAGGCCCTGCTCCGGCCATGCACTGCAGCCCACCCAGCACTTTCAGAATAAGCAGAGTCTATCTCCCCCTGCCCCTGGACCCCAGAAATCATGCACCCCCAGGAGACCCCACCCCAGAGTCCCTTCCAAGCACCCCCATCCCTGGGACTCCCCACATCCCATATCCCTGCACCTCCCCAGACTCACAGGATTCCCCTTGGGACCATCGTCGCCTGTAGGGCCTTTAGGCCCTGGTGGTCCTGCCTCTCCTGGCTGCCCCGACTCTCCTTTCTCCCCACGCTCCCCACGTGGGCCCTGGAGAGGAGCACAAGGCATCGACAGCCATGAGGTCAGGGAGGCAGCCCTGGCCTCCAGGACCCTTCCACCTCTCCCCACGCGCTCCTCCTTTCTGGGAGAGGACAGGGGATCAGGCCCTATAGGGCCTGTTGGGGAGCTCCACTCAAGGAGGTGGTCTGGATGGGGTGGCGGGCGTTGGGGGGGCACAGCCTCAGAGCTATTACTCACCTTGACACCTGGCTCACCCTGGACCCCTGGAGATCCAGACTCTCCTGGCTCCCCCTGCAAAGACACTAGGGTCAAAATTCCGCTTCCCCTGCCCCCTAAACAATCCTGCCATGCCCCACTTCTCATTCTGTCCCAGCCCTCCCAATCCAAACTGGCAGAAGTTCACCTCTCATCACCCTCCCCTCACACAGCCCCCAAGGCTGCCTCATTAACCCAGTTGTCAGCTACCTTCTCTCCTGGGGGACCCAGGTTCCCAACACCTCCTGGGGGTCCTTGTGGGCCCTGAAAGAGGAACAAAAACAGAGGCCAGTGCTTAGGGAAGGCAGAGGGCTGGAGGCGGGCCCACAGTCACAGTGGTGAGACCGCAGCTGGAGGCCTGCCCAGGGGACAGGGAGACAGGGGTGGGCCGCCCTGACACCATGGGACTCACATCGGCACCGTTGGGTCCAGCTGGGCCTCGAGGTCCTGGGGGTCCGGGTGGTCCCTGGGGAAAACAGGCACAGCCGAGATGAGGAAGGGGAGTGAGGCAGAGCAGTGGGTAGGGGTGTGAGAGGAGGGGGTGGTCGCGCTGGGACCCTGCATGCAGGCAGCTGGGTTGGCAGTGGGGAGCTGGGTGGAGGCTGGCGGGGTAGAGGGTGCCTAGGATTGGGGCCAGGGTCAGTAGGAGTCACACTCACCATAGGACCCACGTCTCCTGTTTCTCCTTTCTCCCCAGAGGGACCTGGCAAACCCTGCACAGGTGTACAAACACAGACCCAGTGACCACCTAGGTCAGCGCACAGCAGGCCCACCAGCTCTGCACTCTCGGACCCCACATGCCCCACCCCCAGCCCTCTGCCATCATGTCCCTGGTTTTCGGCAGCAGGCAGGAGTCTGGGCAGACGGCCCCACCCTTATCTCACCTCTCAGCTCACCTGTAAACCAATGGGTCCTGGGGGCCCATTGAACCCTCTTGTTCCTTCATCACCTTTGGCTCCAAAGTGTCCCTGGGGTCCCCGGGCTCCGGGTTCCCCATCCGCTCCCTGGGGGGAGAGGGCGGGGACAAAGACACCAAGATGGGTCCCCGGTCAGGTGTTACCTGTGCACAAGCCCACGGAGAGCCAGGCCCCAGACTGCGCAGTGGATCGCTCTCGCCTAGGGCACTCACCGCCGCTCCGGGCTGCCCCACAGGGCCAATAGGTCCAGGAGGTCCAGGGGGGCCCTGAGGGGGAAGGAGAGTCAGAGATGCAAGCACAGGTAGAGGTTGGCAGGGCAGGGGTTTGAGGCCAGGAGCCAAGAGTCAAGGCCACGGACACTCACATGCTCGCCCTTGTTCCCTTTGGCGCCTTTCTGTCCAGGATCTCCCACCTCACCCTGGGGAGGAGGCAGACAAGAGGTTAGAGAAGGGAGGCAGCTACAGAGGGGGAGGCCATAGTGTCACCCTACGGGTCCCCACCTTGTCTCCATCCTCGCCAGCCACACCCGGGGGGCCAGCAGGACCAGGCAGCCCCACAGGACCCTGCACCCCGTCACGACCCGTCGGACCAATCGGCCCCTTCTCGCCCTGTGGGGAATGAAAACGGGAGTCACAGCCTGTGGACAGTTGTCCCACTCTGGACCACCACAGGAGACCCCCACAGCCTGTCCCCACCCCCTCCGCAGTACACAGTGCCCACCCAGTGTCCCCTCACTCACCGGGACGCCTTTCTCGCCAGCTGCTCCAGGGGGACCTTGTGGGCCTGGGCGCCCCGGAGGACCAATGGGTCCCCCGGCTCCTGCTGCGCCTCGTTCCCCAGGGGAGCCCTGAGGGAGGCAACGGAGTCAGGTCCCAGGAAGAAGGCCCAACACCCCTATTCCAGAGCACCCCTGGCTGTGACTCCCAGCAGAACTGAAGACTCGGGTACCTTCCAGCTGACCCTGGCTTCCCTCTGCCCAGAACACGGCCCCTCGCAGGAGCTGCTCCTCAGGCTCCCTTCCCACTCCTTGCCACCCTGAGGACTCACCGCAGGCCCAGGGGGGCCAGCCGGACCTTCGTTACCCTTCAAGCCAGGACCACCCTAGGAAGCAAAGAACTGGGGTGAGATGGAAAAGTGGGACTGCACAGGAATGAGGCTCCAAGACTTGCAGGGGAGGATGGAGGAGGAAGGGGGAGGGTTGAGAAAGGTGAAGGATTGAGGGGGAGGTTGGGGGGAGGAGGGAGAGGAGGAGGACCGAGAAGGGGGAGGGAGAAGGGAGGAGAGGAGGAAGAGAGGAGGATGAAGGAGGCAGGAGGAGGGGAAGAGGAGAAGGGAAAGGGGAGGAGAGAGGAGGGAGAAGGGAGGCCAGGGCAGATGTGTGAGTGGCAATGGCGTAGCCAGTGTCAGCATGCAGTGCTCTGAACAGGGTCACACTCACAGCAGTGCCCGGGAGGCCTCTCTCCCCTGGAAAGCCCCTCAGACCAGCAGGACCGTCCTTCCCTGGGGCCCCAGGAGGACCAGGGTCACCCTACAAGGAAAGAAGGCGTAAGGGCCGCAGTCACACTCTGCCTCAGGCAGAGCGCACTGGCCCCCACAGAGCTGCTCACCAACCTTTGTGCCTTCTTTTCCTGCTGTCCCAGTCAGGCCTTGCTCTCCAGGAGGTCCTGGGGGGCCAGGGTGACCCCTCTCCCCCATGGGGCCGCTTTCTCCTGCTGCTCCCTAGATAAAGGCAGAGGGTTCCATTCTCAGACACTTCACAGCCCACCCTGGCTGCCCTTTGAAACACCCCTAATGCCTGCCCCAAAGCTAACGGGAAATTCCTGGGAGCCAACCCCCCTCAGCCGCCACCCCAATCTCCACCTCCACCTCTACCAGGCCCCTGGCTGTTTCCTCCCCAGCATGGAGCAACCCCGCCACCTGGTGTTCATGTTGGGGAACTGCCTCCTCTTGGTCAGGAAGCCTGGGAACATGCCCCCCTCCCCGCCCCCAATTCCTCCCCCAAGGGTTCGGATCAAGCAAACCAGCGCCTGGGAAGAGGTGACAGGGGAGAGGGCAAATGGACTAACCCCACAGTCTCAGGCTCCCTGTTAGCTGGGACGGACCTACCTGAGGTCCCACCACTCCTGGGGGTCCAGGGGGGCCAGTCTTTCCTTGGAAGCCCTGAGAGGAGAGAGGACAGTGTGGTCAGACCAGGTGTAGACGTTATGTGACCGGGCTCAAGGTTTCCTGCCAAAGGGGCAGGGTACGCATAGGGCCAGTGTGTGCTCCATGGGGCCAGGCCAAGGGCCGCCAGAAGTGGGGCCTTCACTCACCACTTCTCCTCTAGGGCCAGGGTGTCCAGGCAGCCCATCCTTCCCTGGGGGACCCTGGAAGGAGTTCAAATGTTAGACAAGCTCTAGGCTAGGGGAAGTGGAGAAGGACTCAGAGGTGGGTCAGAGGTCAGAGGTCATCTCACCGGGGGTCCTTTGGGACCAGGAAATCCGTTGGGGCCCTGTGGTCCAGGAAGACCCTAGAGATAGAGATAGGCTGAGTCAGGAGAGAGGAGGAGGACGCTGGCCAGGACACCCAGCTTCTACCCAGGGAGCACTGGGTGGGGAAGCAGGGGCAGAAGACGCCAGCCACACTCACTCTTTCTCCGGGGGGCCCATGGGGGCCATCACCACCCGATGTTCCCTGTGGAGGAGACACAGAGTTGGGGAGCTGCTTCCCAGCTGTCCCCAAAGTCAGAGGGGTGGAGGAAGGGCCAGGCCACAGCTGCAGGGGGCTGGCAGGGCCTGCAAAGTCCACTCACCTTAGCTCCAGACTTTCCAGTAGCACCTCGGGGTCCCCGCTGACCCCGCGGGCCCTAGAGAGGGGGAGGGGTAGTCAGAAGCGCCCGGATGCACCCCTGGCCTCTTGAGTGGGCTGTTCCTCACCCCCTGCACTCACCGTGGGGCCTCGCTCTCCTCGAGGTCCTGCTTTCCCTGACAGGCCCTGGGGGGAAAGGGAGCAGAGACCATTATCACCCAGGGCAAGAGACGCCCCAAGACCCCTTCCCCACCCTCCAGCCCCACCCTGTGCACACCCTCACTGGTCCCCCTTGTTTACCCGGGCTCCCTTCTCGCCACTGGCTCCAGGAAAACCAGGAAATCCCAGGGAGCCCTGCAGAGGATGGAGAAACAGGAAGCTGAGACGTCATGGGGATGGTGCAGGCAGAAGGGGGTCAGAGAGGTCTTGTGTGGCAAGCTGGGCCTTGCCGGGACACCCCTGCCCATCTCTGACTGCTGCAGAATAGGCAGGTCTGGCTCCAGTCCTCAGGGTGCCCCCTGCTCTACTAATCTGTGCTTCTTGGGACTTGGGGGGTGGGTGTACACATAGAGGACATCACATCACCTTGGGTCCCTGGCGTCCGGGGTAGCCAGGCAGACCAGGAACGCCCAGCTTGCCCTGTGGAGAGACAGGAAGCAGCTAAGAAAGGAGCCTGGACTCTGCTTCATCCCAAGGACGCGGCACTCCAAGGCAGGGCCCATTGCTCGGGCACCTTTGAACCCAGGGCCACCTGAGGGCAGATTTCCCTCAGCTCCAGAGGAGGGACGTTGTCCCCTGCCACCGGGGCTGCAGACAGAAGTCGTTGCAATGCAGCCACTGCCTACCTGTCAGCCTCAGCACCCTCTGCCCCAGCACCAAGGCCAGATTTCCAAGGCACCACCCCCTTCTCACTGGGACTCCAGGGCTAGTCCACAGAGACGGGTGGGAGCAGGGATGGGTTCTCAGCCAGGCAGCCATGGCTCAGACCCTGGACCTGCCCTCCCCTAGACATGTAATTGGCAAGCACTGTGACCTGTGTCAAACCTCACCGGCACTATAGGCTCTCACCTCCCAGGACCACAGGGCCAGGTAACCCAGGGCCTGGCAAGTACCAGGTGTGCAGCAAGAGCTGGCTCTGGCCGTGGCAGATGCGCCCTGCCTGCCACTCCTGTGAGTCGGATGCAGTCTCACTCCCACACATTAGCAAGTGGTCTCCATGCCTCATTTCTAAACACCATGATGGAGGCTCTTCCTTCACTCACACATCCCCCTCCACCCATCAGGTGCCCAGAGGTGCCACATACAGACAGGAGCATACTGAACACACAGCCATTTTTGACTCACTGATTTGAGCTGCTGGCACCTCCTGCCCACTCAGACCCCAGTGCCCATGCCACCAACCTCGACCCCTGCACTTCCCCAGGTCCCTTATTCCCATCACCTTCTCGCCCATGAGTCCAGGAGGCCCAGGGTCTCCCGTGGGTCCAGTGCGTCCTTTCGGTCCCTCGGGACCATCCTCTCCCCTGGAACCAGGGACTCCGACCTCGCCCTAAATGACAAGGTTGGGAGGGGCTTGTCAGGGGTTGGAGGTGGGGTCTGGCCCAGGCACAGAGGCAGGGAGGTCTCAGGGCCAAGGCTGGCTGGGGGCTGCGGGGACAAGGATGAAGAGCTGAGGGCCTGGGTGGGGCTTCCACTCACCCTGTCGCCTTTCACTCCTACGTCACCTTTGAACCCAGGAAAGCCATCCTCGCCCTGAGAAAGGTGGAGGTGAGGCAGGGTTATGGTGGGGGATATCAGGGAACTCGGTGGGCAGGGAGGGGAGAGAGGGGCTGTGGGGCAGGGCCGAGGGTCCGGAACAAGGCTCACCTTCTCTCCTTTATGCCCCTTCAGACCCCGGATGCCATCCACACCCTGGAAGGAGAGGGAGTTAGGGACCAGTCAGGAAGGACAGCATTCCCAAGCTCACCTCACTGCCCAGACCACAGGCCTCTATGTCCCAGCCCAGGGGCCGTTACCTTGACACCACGAGGTCCTGGGTAGCCGAGAGGCCCCTGAGGCCCAGAGGGACCCTGAAGGAAGAGGGAGAAGCGTTTACCAAGGGGCCTGGGCACTGCTGGGGAGGCCTCAGAGGTGGGCGGAGGTGTAGGACTTGGGTATTCTGAGGAATCAGAGGTGTGGGACCAAGACAAAGAAACCCTAAGAACCTGCAGGCCTCAGGGTCTGGGCGGAGAGGCCTTTGGGGAGCAGGCAGAGGAGAAAGGGGGAGGCTCTCACCTGGTTGCCTTTGGTTCCAGGGGAGCCTTCCTTCCCGGGGTGACCCTGAGGAATGGGAGATGGTGAATGTGTCAGCTGAACCCTGACACCCTCACTGTACCGTTCCCTACTTTCCTTCCAACTCACACTCCCCCTGTGACCAGCAAAGGCCTACTGGCCACGGGCAGGCACCCCCACTGACCTTCCAGACCAAGAGACCCAATACAGGTGACCACTGCAGGTGCTCAGAGCTCATGCACCAGGACCAAAGGAAATCTAGAGTTGGAAGGGGGCCCTACTCACCGGGGGTCCGTCAGAGCCAGGTATGCCTGGGAGGCCTGGCTTCCCGCGAGGACCCTGCAGAAAGATGAGGAGGTTTGGGGTCATGTGTGAGCACAGCTGGAGTCCCAACAGACATTCAGGGCTACCAAAGCTCCCTCAGAACCCCACCCCATCCCCAAAACCACTGGTCACTCACCTTCTCTCCATGAGGGCCAACGGCACCCTGGGGCCCAGGAAGACCCTGCACACATGGGGAGAGAGGTCATGGAGGGCACACTCTCCAGCTGCCCTCTCCCACTCAGAACAGGGTGACAGGAAGACCTGGGACTCCAACCTTCTAGTGTTCACCCAGGCTGACACTGTGGATGCCCAGGGGAGGTGGCTACAGAGGAACACAGAGGGGCAGGCCACTCACCTGGGTCCCTGGAGTGCCCTGCTGTCCAGGAGGTCCTGGTTCTCCCTGGGGTCCCTAGAAACAGGCAACCAGGCAGGCCATAAGGAGCCAGTGAAAAGACACAGGGCAGACAGCTGAATACCCACAGAGCCGGCCACCCAGGTAGGAGCAGGAGCCAGCGAGGGTCACAGTGGGGCAAACAGGACCCCAACAGGAACTGCAGGGGTGGGTCGGGCCTGCCCATCACTCACCAAGCTCCCTTTGGGGCCCTGGGGACCATCCATGCCACGGACTCCCTGCAACAAGAGAGGGGTATGAGCAGGCTGGCAGGCAGGAGGCACTGAGTGCCCTGTGGTTTCTGAGGGGCCCAGCCACCGAAGGGAAAGGCATGGTCGGGCCTCAGCACGGACAAGGAGCTGGCCCAGGCCACAGGGTGTGGGTCTTCAGGTTTTTATTTTGCTTTTGTTGAGGCTTGTCCTATTTTATTTTGTTCTGCTCAGAGCCCTCAGTGCCCTGGCCATATGGCCTCCTGGGTAAAGGCTGAAGCACAGCTGGGTCAGAGGAGGAAGTGGGATGGGAGAGGGCCGAAGAAGGACAGTTAGGAAGGGTGAGATCGAGGGGCAAGGTCAGGGTCGAAAATCAGAGATTCGCTCACCGGGGGTCCAGGAATCCCAGGCGGGCCTTTGGGGCCAAGCAGCCCACGAGGTCCCTGTATTCAGGGTGAGAAGACAGCATGCATGAGAGAAACATGGAGAGATGGAGTCCCTTCCATGCCCTGGCCTTCCCAGAGCCCCCAGCCCAGCCCTGTACACTCACCGACTCTCCAGGCAGCCCCCGGGGCCCAATCTCGCCATCATCTCCCTGCAGGAGGAGGACTCAGTGAGGTTGGCCTTGCCTGCTGGGCCCCTCCTGCGCCCAGCCCGTCCCATCACCACACACTTACCCGCTCTCCATCCTCACCAGGGGGCCCAGGAGGGCCCTGTGCACCAGTATCACCCTGGAAAACGGGGACCCAGATCAGAGAGCCTGTGTGCATTCCCAGCCCAAGCAGACACTGACCTGCCCAGGTTAATTAGCTGGTCCCATTCACTGAGACCACTGCCACCTCCTCCCTGGCCTCTGCTCCCCTACCCCCAGTACACTCACCCTGTGTCCCTTCTCCCCAGGCAGCCCTGGGAGTCCATCAAAACCTCGGTCACCCTAGGAGAAAGACAGGTATCCACAGTGAGGGCCCAGCCCCTTTGACAGCCCACCCCACCCTCTGTCCCTGAGCAGGGAAATATGAGAACTAAGCCATCCTCAGAAAACAGTGAGCCCTGGTGGGGCAGGAGCTGCAGGTGTCAGAGAGGGCCTGGCCACTACCTTTACTCCAGGTTCTCCCGGCATCCCTCGGGCTCCATCGGCACCGGCTCTGCCCTGGAGGGGCAAGGGGAGTGTCAGGGGACCACAGAGGGCAGGGTAACATGGTTCCCACACCCTAGGCCCTGCCTCCCACCAACACCCAGTACCCAACATGAGGCACTCACCCTTCTCCCAGCCTTGCCAGGGGGACCAGTGAGGCCTTGTGGTCCTCTGGGACCCTGGCATGGGGAGAGACAGGGACAGTTAGTGGACATGGACAGAGGGGACGGCCTAGGCTGGGTGCTAGAGCAGGGTGGTCACCTGAGGGCCCAGGTCTCCTGATTCTCCTTTCAGGCCAGGGCTCCCAGGTTGGCCCTGCAAATGAGAACAGGAGTAAGATGGCCATGTTCAAGGACACAGTTAACAGTAACCCCAAAAGGAGCAAAACAAGTTGCAATGTGGCTTCTCTCCATAACTCTCTGTAACCCCAAAACAAATAAAAAGTCCTTTGTCCCAGTACCCCCATCCACTTACCAGGGGTCCCGGGCGGCCTGTATATCCCATGGGGCCAGGAGGTCCACGGAGCGCCAGCTAGGGAAGCAGGGGAGATGGCAGACTGAGGGGGTGGTAGCTGCAGAATCCCAACCCCTGCATGTCCTTCAAACACCCCCGATCCCAGCTACTCCTCTCCCTCACCCCACCAACCTACATTCTCCCAACCTCTCTCCCAGGCCCAGCCTGGCCCAGCCCGGCCCAGGCCTCTCCCCCGCCTCCACTCTCTCTGCCTCCCTCTTTCCCCATCACACCCATCCCCCAACCGGGGCCCCCTCCTCACCCGAGCCTGCTGCAGAATCGCCTGGGCCTGAGCCTCCTGCGCAGCCACCACAGGACCCTTGTCACCTCCACTACTGCCAAATCGGAACTGAGGACCAAGAAATTCATTAAAATTTCCCCCAGACAGGGACTCCATCCAGCACTTCCATCCCCCAGGGCTCTGGCAGGCCTCACCCTGCCACCTGCCACTGCATCACCTGGGGGTCCCAGGTAACCACTCTGGGTTTCAGAAGCTCAGTAGCCTGCCCTCTGCCCTGTCCACCCCTAGTCTCTTCCTCCCCAGGGGCTCTCCTTTGGCCCAAATTTGTGGAAACACAGAATTTTCTGTCTGGTTTCAGATGACCCAAGTTTGGTTCTAGGTCACCTAATGAGGCTCTGACACCCCTGACCCCAAGACCTGTGCCCATTGGCTGGGGGTGCCTGGAGACTCCCACAGGGCTTCACTGGGCCTCTTGTTCCCCTGGTCTCCCCAGAAGGCAACTTACTGGGAGCATGAGGGACGTGCCAGGAGGGCCAGGGGCTCCATCCGATCCAGGCAGTCCTGCTCGGCCAGGAGGGCCCTGCAGAAGGGAAAGAAAGAAAAACAAGAGGAGGATGGACAGGGGAATATTAAGGTCTTGGCACCATTTTGAAACCCTCCTTGACAGAATAAATACAGACTTCTCCCTAGCTTTCTTGAGCCACCCCACCACACACACACACACACACACACACATACATACATCCAATGGATAAAAATGAGCATGAGGCACCAGCTTACTCCCCTCGCCAGTCAGACTCTGACCTTCTTTCTGGGTGCTGGGGAACACACGGGACCCTAATTCATGAATCAGCCAGTATGGTTACCCACACTAAGTATAAGCAGTTCCTATACACACGTATGTACTTACATATATAATAAACATATACACACCCACACATGTACATACACATACACGTACCTGCACTGACACACACAACACACACACAACGCTCCCTCACCCTCTCGCCAGGATCACCAACTGGGCCTGGGTTCCCTTGGATGCCTCGTGGACCAGTCATCCCCTGAGGAGCAAAAAATGGAGGAGTCAGGTGAGGGCAACAGGTGGCTGGGCAGTGGTTTCTATAGCAGGGATCTGGGATCCCAAAGGCTCCAGCCACAAGGATCCTTAAAGGTCCTGAGAAGGAGGCCTGGTGTATGTGGGGCAAGAACAGAAGGTGCAAGTTCATTGCTGGACTCACCGCAGGACCTTCTGGACCGGGAGGCCCCTCCACAAGCATACCCTGTGGGGCCAGAGGTGAGAAGTCAGAGGCTACAAGGCTGTACCCAAAGCTGCGTGTCCTGCTCCCCTCCACCACGCTCGGCTCAACAACCAGTGTGACTTACAGGTTCCAGCACTGCAGGCTCACCCTTCTCTCCCTTCAGCCCCCGGGGTCCATGGGCAGCCTGAGGGAGACACACATGTAACCCCCAGAGGGGCCCGTGAGCAGCGAGACACTGGGATTTCCCTCCCAACTACAAGTTCATCTTCTGGAGACCTCCCTGACCCACCTTTAAGTCTCCCCACCACCACTTGGGACACCCTTCCTCACAGACCTCCCATGCCCCACCTCAGCAAACATAACCTCCCTGGGCCCCAGAGAGCCAAGCCTGGCCTTCCCAAACCTTGTTCTGCAGGACCTCATCCTGCCCCCCAAACACCCTCAGGCCCCAGAAATCCTTAGGACCTTAAGACATCATCCACTTCCTCTTCACCCTTATCCCACCCATCAAATAAGAATCTAAGACTGTAGACAGATTTTTATTTGAGGATGGGAGGAGGACCTGGACCCTTGTGAGAATCTGACCAAAGCTATGAGTCTTTCTCTAGAAAAGAAAAAATAAATGTCTTTCTTTGTCAAAATGAGCTTAGAATTTCAAGAGCTTCATGGAAAACCATTCCCTCCCCCGCCCCCCGCCCCCGCCGAGACTCCAAACTCAAGCCTAATAAACAGCTTTTGGAAAAATGCAGCTCTGGGTCTGTTCTCCGAGGCCCATTTCCTTCCCCACAGGACACAGCACACTTCCCCGGCCCCGCTTGTATACCAAGTTCCCTCCCTCCCACACCTCCCCTCCAGGGCTTGTCCTCAGTTCTAGGATCAGAACCCAAATGAGCAGAGGGAGAATGGCGGTCCTGGGCACGCACCCCAAGAGACACCTCCTGAAGACCCCCCTCCCAGTCTCCCTCCAGACCAAATGCCAGCTCAACCCCCAGGAACCACAAAGCAGCTTCAGGCAAAAGCAACAGAGGGTCTAGGGGTGGGAATATTAGAGAAGCAAGGGGTGGTGCGAGGCAGCAAGGGAGAGGAGGCAGCCGTGAATTGCGAGGCAGGCAAAAGATGAAATGGAATAGACAGGAAATACTCCAACTGACATGGGAAACAAGTACGGGAGACAACAAAGAGACGAACATTTGGAAACCAGAATGATACTAGGGCCAAGAAAAATTAAACACAGCCAAGAGGACTAGAAAACAAACTAGACAAACAGGAAGTCGTCGGACAGACGGGAAGCAGCCAAGAAACGAGGATCCGGGAAGTGGATCTTTAACCACAAAATGGCTGCCATGACAAGAGAGAGAAATTGACAAAACAGAAAATAACTTGACAAGGGGAATTGTAACAGCACAAACATCAAGTCTACACATACAGAAAGCAGACATGATAGACACCTGAGCCCACCGTGTGCCCTGAGACACACAGGAAGTGGGTTATTATCCAAGGAAATTGTCACAAAACAGCATAAAAGCTACAGCCAGAGCACAAATAATACATTCCTTCCAGGCCAGTCCCACAGAGTCACTCAGATGAATGCCACGGCTGGAGAAAAGAGCAGACAGCTCAGAAGTCACCTGTACATTAGAAATGGGGACACAGGAGGTCAGACCATAACACGGACAAGAAACACTCTGGTCAAGCAGAAGAAATGAAAACAGACTGAAATGGACATGAGGTGAGGCTTACTGATCAAAAGCTTTACAAACACAGCTTGATTTAGGCAGGAAGTGGCCAAGAACGACAGGAAGTAGCCATAGGATTAACAGGAACAAAACAAATCCCAATTGTCCTGAGCAGAAGGATCCACATAGAGTCACAGGCTAGGCCGTACAACAAGGAAAAGCTCCAACTCATGTTTTCAAGCAACATACATGTCCCAAGTGAACAGAAGACAAAACATCACCACTGAGAAACAGCTCACAGCCAATGAACAAAGACAACGGAAGCCATTCTCACACAGGAAAAAGGAGCTCGTTGCACTTACGGCTCCCAAGTGGGCTGTCTCCGCAGAAAGGGCAGGGCCAAGTTCCGTCTCCTCCCGATAATCGTCCCCATAGCCATAGGCGTAATCGTAGGACCCTACCGGGGCGGCAGTGCCACCCACCCCGTACTCCTCTCCCTGGAACCTGCTGGCTGTGGGGGGGACCTGGAGGTCTGTCTGCTCCTTCCCAGGGGCGGGGAGGAAAAGGGGGTAGACAGGACATTAGGGCTGAGAAAAGTTCTGCCGTGGACCCAACTTCTAACCCAAAGGGTTAAGAGGGTAGCTGGGCCTGGAGAGTTCTCCTGAGGAGAGCAAGGGATGTGGGTACACAGAAAGAGGCTGGCCATCAAAGGCCATCAGTGGGGTCGGATGTCCAGAATATCAGCCCCGGGTTTGGAGGGGGAGGATGACAAGAGGAGTGGCCGGAGGGCTGGACACTGTAGACAATCAGTGAACACAACAGACATGGGGAATAACCAAAGAACTGGATAAGGGGACTAGGCAAAGACAAAAGTGAGAATAAGGGACCAAAAAATAGCTCCTGTAAACAGAAATACAGTGTAAGAAGTCAGATTATTTGACACCCACGTGGAGATTACACTGGACTCATAACAAAAGGAGGCAAGACTCAGAAGGACAACAGCTAGACACAGAGCGGCCATCAGAGTGACCAGGGGACGGAGGCCACAGGTACACACCACAAAGCCCTCCGGCCAGAGGAGGGGACTGGGGAGGGGTTTGAGAGGGCCACAGTCCCTGCTGGGCTGGACGTGGAGTTACCTCCTCAGGGGTTGGCAAGGGGCTGGCCTCCAGGACACCTTCCTCTTCTGTTGGGGTAGGGTCCTAACCCCAGGGAAAGGGACAGAAGAGGAGCACAAGGGGAGGAACGAGAGGCAGGCGGTTAGAGGGAGGAAGTGAAGCAGCACCTGTCCCACCCAGGGCCATGTCTGTCTGTGCTGGGGGGTGGGGGCAATCTCAGATCTTGCAGCCCCTTTGGGGAGAGTGACTGTTCTAGGTCACAGAGGTTTGGGGGCAGAGATCTAGATGCCCCGGCTCTACCTGCCGGTAGCCGCTGCCTCTGGTCCTGGGGGGTGCCCGGGCAGCAGGGGGAGCTGCCCGCCGGGCTGGGTTTCGGGAGTGGGGAGGCTGGCTGCGTGCTGGGCCAGAGCCTCTGGTTGGAAAAGCCCTCCGGCCTGGTGTGGAGGCTGCCTGCCGGGCTGCTGACCTCTTTGCAGGTGGGGTTGGCTTTCGGGAAGGGGTCCGACGCCCCCTGGGGGCAGGGAGAGCCCTGTGGTGGGGGCTGCGAGACCGCTGCACGGAGAGACATGGGAGAGGGGGAGCATAAGGAGACCTTCGCCATCTAGATGCTCATCCTGTCTACAGACTGTGGAGGTGTGTGAGGGGTGCTGGAGGAAGGGGGGAAGCAACGGGTCCCTCAGGTTTACCTGATAGTCAGGGGTCGTCCCCGTGGTCATCCCATCGTAATAGAGGGGCTCGTAGTCATAGTAGAGAGGCTCAAGTGGCTGGGATTGGGGGAGGGTGCAGATGGGGGAAGAGGTAGGAAAGTGATGGGGTCGTTGGAGGGAGGACAACGTGGGGAAAGCAGACAAGGAAATGGGGTGGGGGTGGGAAATGAGAAGCATGGTATTGGGGGACAGGGGTTGAGGAGGAAAGGGATCAGGGAAATGGGAGAGGTGGGAGAGGTGGGAGAGGTGGGAGAGGTGGGAGAGGTGGGAGAGGGGAAATGGATCCCATGTGGGACAGAAGCAGACATGATTAAGAGATTGGCCCTCCAACTTTCAGACCCCAGATCACACACACCACCCTAACCATGCAGCCCCCACCCAATCCAATCTCCCCTTTGCCCCCACAGCCCCTAATCCTGCACTTTCATGTACAGGGGGCCATGGACTGGACTCCCCCCAACACACACCCCCAAACCATCACTTCTTCGATTTCCCCTCTGTTCTCCTACTCCTTCTCGTTTTTCCTGCTCAGTCCCAACCTCTGGATTCTGTCTCTGCTCTCCCACCTCCCTCCTTCCCCGAGATTCAGTCACCAGCCATCTCTCCTCCCCACCCCCCCCCACCCCCCCGCCATCTCCCAATCTCTTAATCCAAGGAAGGGATGGAACAAGGACACAGTTCCAGGAAGACTGGCAGAGGAGGTGACACAAGCAGGGAGCACAACTCCCAGTCACGGATTCTTCATGCTGACTCTTTTTATTTTTAAATGAAAATAAAAAGGTTGGTGAATAAGGACTGGGAGGAGGGGAGGGATGGGGATAGGCAGGTGTGGTTGAGGATGAGAGCCAAGGAAGGGATGGGACAGGAGCCCCAGATGATCTGACGGGAAGATCTAGACTACAGGGTGAGATTCCTGGGGGTGACTGAGTCATGACCTTTGTGGGGTGCACTGTAGTGGGGCACTCACCTGGTGCTGCGGCTCCTGGCTCTGTGGCCTGTGAAGTCTTGAAGGCTGCTGCTTGGGAGATCTCTGGGCTCTATGAGCCTGTTGGTGAGGAGGTCTCTCCTTCTCACACTCCAGCTCCTTCTGTTCACAAGACTCGTAGGCAGCTTGGACACCCGGAACAATGACAAGCTCCTGGATGTCACCCTACAGTGGGAAGGAGTGAGAACGCTGATGGGCAGAGGCCCAGACGTGCTCAGAAAGACAGAGGGAGCAGTGCAGGAACACAGTGGGGAGGCCGATGCCAGGAGAAGACGCTCATAGGAAGCCCCCCTTGCCGGGGCATAGCCCCATGCCCTCGTCTACAAGTCTCTGGGAACATGAATAGGACAAGCATTTCAGAAATACTCAGTGCAGAAAAGTTCAAAAAAAGCCATACTGGACAAGGTCACTCCGAAAAGCGAAATTAGGTCTGACACTGAAGGCTCCCAGCTTCAACTCACTCAGCCTGCTCCCTGCCCTGTGGCAAGGCACGAACCTTCTCACTGGCTTCTCCAGAGAGGGTCCAGCTTTGAGTGCCTTGGCTCAGGCCTCCTCGAGATGAGAACGCTCAGGACCTCGAGAACTGGGGGCAAGGCACCCCTCCTAAACCCCAGTGGCATTCATGTGTGACCACACATGCTGATTAGCACACCCTGCTTTCCACAGAGGTTTGGGGACGCTATCTCAAGTCCAGGGCCAAACTAGGAACTCCTTGGGATAACAGAAACTTTATATGACAATACTTCAAAACACGTGTGAAAGAATGGAATTAACAGATCATGAAGGGGTGGATGTTTGGCACAGCAGTTGATCAGCCTCTTAGGATGCCAGCATCCTATGTGGGAGTACCTGAATTTGACTCTGCTAGTTCTACTTTTTCTTCAGCAGGTGATGTCCCAAGTAGTTGGGTCCCTGTCATTCAAGTTTCTGGCTCCCCAACTTCATCCTGGCCCAGTTCTTTATTGCCAGTATTTGGAGAGTAATAGAGTGGGTTTTTCTCTCTATGTGTCTTTCTAGCACTCTTTCTCCAGCTCAAATAAATAAAAATAAGTGAATGTGTGTGTGTGTGTGTGTGTGTGTGTATACATATACAGAGAGAGAGAGACGTGTGCAACAGCAGTTAAGCTGTGAAGGACACCCAAAGCCCCTATCAGAAAGACTGGCTTTTAGGGGGGTTGAATCCACTTTCCATTCCAGCCTCTCGCTAATGCGCACCCTGGGAGGCAGCAGGTGATGGCTCAGGTAATGAAATCTGAATTTTGTTCTCAGCTTCTAACCGAACCCTGCACAGGAGTGGCTGTCGTGAGCACTTTAGCAGATAGAAGACTTCTTTATGCCCATCTCTCTGCCTTTCAGATAAATAGAAAAAGTTTTTTAAAGATAAGGGAATTTTCTATTAACTTTTTCAAGAACTTGTCCTATTCTTCCATGCCCCCTTTGACTTCCAGGTAATCAAAATATGTTGACTGGCTAGGAGAATGGATGATATATAGATGCATGGATAGAGGAGTAAATGGGTAGATGGGTGAATACGGGCTCAAAAGTGACTGGGTGGGAATGTTGATGGATGATTCACCAATGGATACATACATGTGTGGATTGTTGGGTTTTGGGTAGAGGAATGGAATCGAACACATGGGTGAATGAATGATTGGACAGGCAGGGTGAGTGGTTAAGGAGATGAGCAGATGCATGTGCTAAAGGAGGGAATGGCTGAGTTGGTGGAAGGATAGGTAGGCAGGTGACAAATGCATGGGTAGATGGGGTGGATGAGTGGAGAGATGGATGGGAGCACAGGTAACAGTTTGAAGGAGGGAGCAGTTGAGCGGGGATGAAGATGGGGTGGTGTGTGGATACAAGCCTAACTCAGTGAGAAGGTGAGTAAGTGAATGGGTGAGTGAGTAAAGGGTAGGTGAACAAACAGTAGACATGGGCTCATCTGTAGATGGGTCAGTGGGTGATTGCGTGAAGGGGTGGATGGATAACCAGACTGATGGAGACTAAATGATAGGTTAAGTGGATGTAGACAGTTCTACCATAGAACAGGGTACCCTAATTCTCCACTGGAAACAAAAGTTCAGGAGTAGAAAAGCAAAGGCCTAAGGATTAGGGGCATGGAATCCTGGGGTCAGAAAGACAGAGGGCACAAAATCAGTGAGCAGGATTCCCTGCTTCCTCTAAATGCTCTGGTTACCTCAAAGACCTCTTCATCCAGGATACGGGCACCAAAGATCACCACCCCATGAGTGTCCAACACCGGCCGAGCACTGCGGGTGAGGGGCCGGGTGACTCGTTTCTTGCAGTCAACAATGAGGGTTACAGACTGGCCTTTCACTGCCACAGCCACACGGTGCCACCTGTTCACAAAAGGAGAGGTTCACATGACTGACTGACTGACTGACTGACTATAGTGGGGACATCCACTGGGCCCAGAAGCTACTGATGAAAGAGTTAAACCCATGCCACCAGATAATAAGAGCTGCCACTGACTTACTGAGTGCTTCCATGGCACCAGGTACCACATATGCATTCTCTCCTAGGAGTATGATGACTACATCATCTTTACAGAAACTGAGGCCGGAGGTGTTGGGGCATAGCCAGCTAAGCCTCTGCTTGGGACACTGGCATTCTATATTGGAGTGCTTGGTTCATGTCCCAGCTACTTCCTGCTTCCATCCACCTCCCTGTTAATGCACCTGGCAGGTGGCTGATGACCGTCCCTGTGCTTGGATCTCTGCCACCCATGTGGGAGACCTGGATGGAGCTCCTGATTCCTGGCTCTAGTCTATTCCTGGCTGTTAAGGACATTTCCGGAGTGAACCAATAGATGGAAGATCTCCCTCTTCATCACTCCTTCCTGTCATTCTTTCAAGTAAATAAACACTAAATTTTTAAAAAATTAACTTTCAAAAAAGTGATTTGTCAAAGGTATAGGCTACAACTACAGCAAGAACTAGGACACAAACTTGAAGGCACAAATTGTGAGCTAGAATTGACTAAAGTTGAGGGAGTAGGTAGGTGTGGTGTCAAAAGGATCAACAAGCTTTCCTAGTTGAAGGAGTAGATTTTCTGAAGTTCTGAGCTACTTTCTCCCAAAGGTGTAGGCCAGGCAGGCCAGACTTACTTGCCATCTGCTAGACTGAGGCCTCGGAAGACTGGCTGGGCCGGTGGTTGAGGCCGCCCGGTCTGGTCCTCATAGAGAAAACGGACAGGCCGGCCCAGCTCCAGGCCCAGCTGCCGCACACCCTGGGCACTGTAGAGAGTCAGGAGGGCAGCCTGGAGGCCAGGGCGAGTCCGGACAGCAGTCAGCAGAGAGAAATCTTTGGGGAAACCTCCTGGAACCCGGAGAAGACACACACACACAAGTGAACAGAGAGGTCAGAGGAGCCACGCTCCTTCCTCTTCAGGGTCTGCTCCCAGACCCCATCCCACAACTGCCCTAACTCACGGCCCATACCTGGAAAGAGCTGGCAGGTAGGTGCGCTGAGCTGGGCAGGCCTGGACACACGGTAGGCCACATCAGCTGGACAGATGCCCCTTGTCTTCCGGACACCGTCAGGGAGTGAGGGGAACCTCAGAGCCCGGAGCACATCTACAGGCGGTGCACCTGTGACAGTGCATGAAGTTCAGGGGCAGGATATTCCAAGAAAGAGAGGGGGTGCTCAATAGAGGACCTTTGGGGTCTAGGGCTCAGCTTGCTAGAGCTCAAGCTCCCTCACGGCTCCTGACTGGATAGGAAACACAGAGCTGCCCAGAAGCGAAGGGCAACACTAGCCTGGTCAACTCTGTGCCAACTCCCGCCTCCCTCTGCCTCATCTGAGTCTCCTCCCCACTCTCACTGTCTCTACCTACAGGTCTTTCATCTCTCCATCCCTCTGTCTTCCTCCACTTCCCTCCCAGCTTGTCCATCTTTTTCTTTCCCTGCTTCCCTCTCTCTCACTACCTTTTCGGTATCTCAGTCTCTGGCACCTGTCCCGTCTCCAGCACAAACAACATCTGGGCAATAGATCATCCTGGGCACATGAGGGGCAAGGAGAAAGCAGAAAGGAGGCTGTTCGGGAGGGGACTTCGAGCGGCTATGGATGCCAGACTTGGGGGAGGAGGGGAGGGCACCACTGTACCCATGTGGAGGAAAGAGATATGAGCAAGAACTGTCCCAGGAGCCCACGATCCCTGCTTGGGGGATGGGCCAAGGAGAGGGGGAGCTGAAGCTGCCACGCAGAGCCAGAGCAGGTCCAGGGCCCCGAGCCACACATCTGTGGATCCCATCAGGGTCCTTGCCCAAAATCCCAGGCAAGCTCCCCACACCTGGAATCTTGACCCGGCCAGCATCTAGGCAGTGGAGACCTGGCCACCAGCCCTGTCTACCTAGAAGTCAGCTTCCTGGGCTTCAAAAACCTGGAAGATAGAAATGATCTCTCCCTCACATGATCCCTGACAGGCACACTCCTCACACCCCTCCGCTCCAGGCTGGACAAATCCCAAAGACAGCTGGAGCAAACTGTTCGGAGAACTGTGGGGCAGGGCAGAAGCAGAGCAATGGGGAGAGCAGAGCTGGGTGGGGTGGGTGAGGAGGGGCAGGCAGGCAGAGAAAAGGCCCTTTGAGCCCAGGAGCCGGGAAACCACGGCCATGCCCCCTCCCACACCTCCCGCCCCAGCCTGGCCCCCGCGCGGTGGTAGCTCAGCAAACACCAACACACAAGGACGGCTTTGAAAGACACAGGGCAAGTGAGACAGCAACTCTCAGAGACCCCAGGCCAGTGGGACCTCAGAGGCCCCAACCTTACACCCACACCCAGGGCAGCACCAACAGATCCATACACAGCCTGCCCACAGGTCTGCCCACCGTCTGCCCCCTTCAGTCCCATCCCTGCTCCAATCCTGGGCCTCATCTACCCCAGAGGCAGCCCCACCACTTGTCCTGCACCTCCTGACCTCTGGTTCCCCAATGCCTAATCCTTTCCTATTGGGAATTCCACTTCCACAAGGCCTCACCTCAACCCTTGAAATAACAGATGGTCATCTCAGCCATCCCTCTGCCTCCATGCCCAGGGGTTCTTTTTTCTCCTAGAGTCTCCAAATAGGATATACTTCAATTTCCTGCCCCTGAGGCTCACACTGGTCACATCCCAGGAGATCCTTCTCCTGCAATCCAATCTAAGGCATCTACACAGCTAGCCCGACTATGCAGGGAAGAAACGAGGAGTCCACTTATACACAAATCAGTCCCCTCAGTGTTTCTGGAGTTGGGGGGCTTGCTCCAGCCTGTCTGGGACCCCGTGTTCCTGCCCCTACCCCTGCCCCACCCTGGATATTAAATCCTCTTGCCTAGAAGTCAGGATTTCACAACCCTGGGAAAGAGGAGGAAAAGATTGAGGTTCTGACACGAGGGTCCCAGGGGAGCCAGGCTGGCCAGAGGGGGAAGGGAGGGGCAGGAATGCAAAGAGTTGGCTTTGGCCTCAGACACCTGATCCCAGCCTGTCCGGCGGCCGTCCTGTTGGCAGCCAGCCCCAGGGCTCCCCAGAGCCAGCCGCGTGGCAGCATCGAGGGTACAGGAGGGGGGCTGTGCGGGAAACCAGTGGGACAGACAGTCGAGGCACCATTCTTTCTGGTTCACTGTGCTCTTCTGTGACCCACAGATGCTCCCCAGCATTCCATAGCTGGGAAGTTGACACAAATCACCTATCTTCATGCTGAAACCCCTCCACAGCAGCCATGCCTGGACCAGACCGGCCCTGGCCATCTCAGCGCGTTCCTGGACTCACGGCAGCAGGTAGCCTACCCCTCCTCTTCCCTGCAGGGTGGACCTCCTCTCCACCTTACCTGCCTTCTGCCACTTCGGTCCTGCCCTGGTTCTCAGGACCCCAGCTGTTTAGCCCTACAGCCTTGCCATCCAAATCCCCTCCTTGGATGGCAGGCAGGCATCAGCGATTCTCTCCCTGGTAATACTCAGAGCCCAGTCTGAGGACTCCTCTTACCTGCCCAGCCCAGGGAGGCACTCAGCCCCAGCACCAGAGGTAGCAGCAAGAGGAAGCTGTGGCAGCGGTTGCACCACTCCATGGCGGGGCCACCTGAGCGCCAGATCCCTGGCACCCAGGGTCCGCGAAAGGCGTTGGACGCCCAGCTGACAGGGTACAGCGAGTCTGCTGCTAGTCCCTGACCCCGGGGATCCCAGGGAGCTCAGAGGCTGTCAGGCGTCAACACCTTTCAGGGGACCAGCTCCATGCAACCAGGTGCCATCAGGGTTCGGACGCTGCTGTCTCCTTGGTGGCCGGCGCTCCAGTGTGTCCCCGGCCACCCCAGCGGCGGCCCAGAGCCCCCACTCCGCCCCCCGACCCGCCCACAGCCAGAGGAGAAACCCCACCCCCAGCTACACCTGGGGTGAGGGGGCGGGAACCCTCTCCCCTCCCTCCTTCGGCGACAGACCCTCCAATTGCTCTCCCTTGCTCCGCGCAGGGCGTGGTATCTCGGACTCTTCTCGGAAATCCCACATAGGACAGTCTACCTCCAGCCCCTTCCCCTTCTTGGACCCGTGGGCACACCCCTTCCCCATCCCTCTCCCTTGGGAGCCCAGCGTCTCCCTCTCAGCAGATTCCTGGGCGGGATTTGAGGCACAGAAGGAAGGGAGAGGACGGGCGGGGGGGGGGTGGTCGCCACGCCGCCCCCACGCGACCCGACCCGTAATCAGGTCTCCGTAATTACCTCCCTCAGCCCAACCCGTGTAATTACAGAGCAGGCCTGGGGCGGGGTATTTATAGACGAGGCTATAGATAGCGATTCCTGGTTTGGGGGATTGCTGGCGAGAGGGGGGCTAGGGAGAGCCAGCCGAGGGAGGGAGGGGCGGGTAGACAGAAAGAGGCTGGCACAGATTGGCAGACAGCAGGCTAAACAGGTCCAAGGAGACCGAAATCGGCAAGGCAAGGGAATGCAAGATTCAGGTGGATAGGGAGTTGTGGGCGAGGCTGAAGGATGGGCAACGGGGTCACTCAGGGACGCAAGTCTTCAGGCGGGCAGTGACTGCCGCAGCGGCTGCGCCCGGCGTCCAGCATGCCCTCACGAACGGGCACGGCGCCGGGCCTGCCCGGAGCCCGCGGAGCGGCCGGAGAAGTCCTGGGCGAGCCGAGGCGCCGCCGCCCGCTGGCGCTGGGAGGGCAGCAGCGAACAAGGCGCCTTTGAGAAGCGGCCGCCCCCTCCCTCTTCCTCTGGCCGGCTCCGCCCCCAGCCTGGCACACCCTCGGCCCCCTCCCCGACAAAGCACGCCTTGTGTCCCCCACCCTGCTCCTGCATCTGGGGCATGCAGGGAACCTCGCAGCGGCGTCAGGGGAAAGGGAGCTTCCCAACCGGATACCCCGACACACCGCGGCCCCATACACTCAGCTGAGTCCAGAAAAACAGCGTTTTTAATTTGAAAGCGATTTCATGTGAGTGAAAGAGGGGAAAGGAACCCCAAAGAGACGAAATGCAGGGCAAAAGATCATGCACCCCAGCACCCCCCTCTCTGCAGGCTGGCCACCTCCCCTCGACTATGGGCCCTAGAGCATGTGAGCCTAAGGTGGCCTTGTGGCCCAGCTCTAGCAGGGCTGGGGAAAAGGCCCAGGCCCATTCCTCCTAGTCCACAGGTGTGGGACAGCGAAGTTGGGAGGCCAGAGCCCTCCCAGTCCCCAACACCCACTTTCACCACTGGCATTCTTTAGTCGACCTGGAACAGTACAGTACTTCTTTGAGTCTAACTGCAAGTCTCTATCCTCAGAGGAAATTAAAAATAGACTGGTCTCTGTACCTCCACCAACCCCTCACCACCACCACCATGGGCTTTTATTTTTCAGTCTGACTTGAGAAGCTCAAGTGTAAAAGGGGCTCAACCAGCACAGGCACAGGGCCATGTCCGTCTTCCAGAGAGGCCCCCAGAGAGGCCTGCCAGAGCCCTACTCTCATGTCCTTCAGCCTATGGGGGAGCCTGCCCCCCAACATCCATCTCTAGAGGAATCCTTCATTCCTACTTTTCAGATGGTGAACAAAGTGAGGCAAGACGAGCAGGAAACAAAGTCCAAGGAGCAGGGCCAGTGCTTTGTGCTGGGGAAACTGGGGTTGAGAAATTACCCCAAATCATGGCAGATCCTAACAACTTCAGAGACTCAAGGCCACTGAAGGGAGGCATCCAGTCCCCATGGGGAACTGGGGTCCCTTCTGATAGGACCCCAAGTAACCCATGTGCAGGGTTTATGGGTCCTGTTGGAGGTCTCGGTTCGCCCCACCCAGGTCTTGTGTGGCACATGGTCCCGCCCCAGGCGCAGATGCTCCGTTACAGATGCCCTCCTCAGGCGGAGATGGCCCAAACTGGAGTCTGGGCTCAGGCCAGCTGGTGGGGAGCTTCAAGCATCTCCATGAGGAAGGTGTCGATGGGGGTGTCACCAATGAGCTTAAAGAAAAACAGATGTTCTAGACACTTAAGGCCGATGGAGCGAAGGGCAGGAAGACGTAGCAGCAGCTTGGCAAACCTGCGGTGGAGGCGAGAGGAGGGGAGTGAGAGCTGGAGGGACACACCCCAGGGATCCACCCCCAACTCAGGAGCCTTGAGCCCAGCTACTCCATCTCACCGTCCCTGCTGCTCAGGGTACTTCTGTTTGCAGTAGGTCTCCAGGGACGCATACACCTTCTCCCGCAGGACCTCCACCTCGCTCGGGTTGGAGAGGCCCTTGGCATCTGCCATGGCAGGGAAAGAGGAGAAAGAGGAAGAAAGACAAAGCCAATCATGGCACTGTGGCCAGAGAGTACCTCATTAAGGGCACCCAACTTGCCCATTACCAGATGCCTGCTCTTTGCCAGAGAGCAGGGGCACTCGGCTTGTGGGCTAAGGGGGTCACAAAGGAAATGTGTGAGTGGGTTTTCCCCCGGCCAGCTGGGAGGCTCCTAGGCTGCTAGTCTCACTGAGGGGGTAGCTGGGTAATTTAGGAGTCTCCGCAGAAGAGGAGGCTCCAAGGATGCCTCAGCCTCGAGAGACGGAGTGACTCCTCCTCTTACCTGGATTAAACAGAATGATTGCCCTCAGGCAGCCAAGCTCTGTCTTGTCCATCCTCATGTCACGCATTTTGGACACTAGCTCTGTCAGCACCCTGGAGAGGGACCTGCAGGTCACTCAAAGGTCACAGCTCAGCCAGCCTTGGACATGGACCAGCCTATAGCCCCACCCCCTCTCTACTTAATAGGTCAGCCCAGTCGAAGGCCACTGACCGATCAAAGATGGCTCCCACGCCTGCAGAATGGGCTGAGTTGCGATGCACATGAAGACCTGTGGCCAGGAGGATGCCATCTCGGACATCGATAGACCGGTGGGAGAAAGAAGCAATGAGGAGTTCATTCCAGCCTGGGTGAGGGTGGCAAAAGTTGGGGTCCAGAAGTCAGGCCATGACATTCAAGGTACAGATGAGAAGGAGAAGGGCAAGGAGGTCAGGAAGCTTGGCTCCCTGAGTATATGAGGTAAGGCCACTGGGGTCACTGAAGGTCAGCAGGTCAAATGCCAAGAGGTCAAAAGGGGTCCAAGGTCACTGACCTGCCCGCAGCAATATGACCTGGTCATCCAGAGGCAAGGAGGAAAAGTGTGGGATCCTCTTTGCCCACTCAACCAGCGTGAACAGCTGCTTGTCAGCCGCCTGGCAGATGTTAGTCACAGGATCATTTGGCTATAAGGGACAGGGGAGGGTAAGAGTCAGGGAAGGTTTAGAAGCATACTAAGAACCCCACCTTGCTAAGAGCCTCTGATGCCCCATCGTTACACACGGTCTCCCTTCAAGCCCACCTACACCAGCCATGCTTCCCTACTGGCACTGGTCTCGATGGCCAGTGGCTCTGCCAATGATTTGTTTTGGGAGTTGGGAAGGAGAAAGCTAACACACCCACTGCAGATGTCTGAGAGAACTTGTGTAGCAACATTTGTAGACCCAGGCAGACTTAGGAGGGTTGTGAGGGGAAAAGAGACCAAGCCAAGACTCCCTGCCCCCTGCCCCCAGCCCCCACCACGAAGGCAGGTGAATCAACCCCATCACTCACACTGCTGCCGCTACCCCCGGTTCCCCCAGGGCCCTCCACGCCCTGGTCACTCTTCTGTTCCACAGCAAGCTCTGCCTCCAGGATCCTGTCCACGGGCATCTCCTCGGGGGCTCCCCCAGCCCCCTCCCCATCCCCATCTTTGTCCTTCCCCCGCTGACGCTCCTCCTGTACCGCTGTGGAGGGGCAAGGAGAGGAAGAAAAAATGCAAAGTCAGCAGGTAGCCATGAAGGGATCCCCAAGGACTGTTAGGGCCTTAGGCAGGGTCTCATGTCCCTCGGGAAATAGTTACAGGACTTGTTGGACTGGGGATAATCTAGAAGCAGAAGTCCTAAAAGGACAGAGAAAATAAAAGGGCAGAGAAAAGAGAAAGGAAGAAGATGACACAATTAAGGAAGCTGGTATTTAGCACAGGACTACTATATAAGAAACACGATAGCCCTATGTTAACATTCCCTCAGTTATCTGAGCAACCCTGAGTCCTTGATTGCACTCTCAGCAATGAAGACTTTGGGAGCAGAGACAGTTCCACAGCTTCCTTAACTCACACACAGGGAAGCTACCCGTGCCTGGCCTGAGTCTGTGCTCTTCTGACTTGCTAACCAGGCAGTCAAAGCAGCCTAGCATGGTGCAGAGACACGGGTCCTGGATTGGTCCCACTGCCCTTTGCTGAGGCAGCCGTGGGGAAGCCAGGCCTCTGGGTCATTGGCTCATGTTCTCTAACACGGGAGCCTGGGCCAAAAGACCCTCCATATAGTGTCTCAAAGTTCTGGGCATCAAAATGACCAGACAAAGCCCAGAAGAGAGCCAGCAGCCCTGAGGTTTCAGTATAACCTGTAGCTTCAGGGGCCAGAGTCCCCAGGGGCCAGAAGAAAGACCAGAGAGACAAAAAACAGAGACCAGAGGAGCAGGAGATGGAAGAAAGAAGGGGCTACGCAGGATAGAGAGGGGGAGACAGAGAAGCCCACGAGTAAGGAAAAGTGATCCTACCCTAGGGCCAGACTGCACTGGGGACAGGTCACAGAGGCCATTAAGAAGGAAACTCAAGAGACCAGAGCAGGGTACCAGGGAGAAGAGCTGATGAGGAGGGGAGAGAGAAATCAGATAGCGCCCTCTGGAGGAGAGTGAGAGCAGTCCATCCTCCCAAGAGGACCCCTCTGTATCCCCTTGACCTTGCCCCTCCTGTCCCAGGCTGAAGGGGCTGCAGGTTGCCAAGCCTGCCAAGAGCTGGTCCTTACCCTCCCTCTTCATGCCTGTGGCCAGGCATTTCTGGTAACGGCAGTACTGGCAGCGGTTCCTTTGGCGCTTGTCCACCGTGCAGTCCTTGTTGTCGCGACACGAGTAGGTCAGGTCCTTGCGGATGGTGCGTTTGAAGAAGCCTTTGCAGCCCTCACAGCTGTACACCCCATAGTGTTTGCCTACAGGGACAAGGGAGAAGGAGAAAGCTGCATGGAGACCTCCCCGGAAGTTGCCTGCCCACCTCCAGAAAAGACGCAGTTTGAACTCTTGCTCATGTTTGCGAAATACTCCTACAGGATGAGGAGCCAGGAAGTTGAGGGTTACTCAGCACCACCCTCCTCACTGTTCAGAAACACCACAGTAATTCCCTTTCCCCGCTGCCCACCCCGCATCTAAGCTTCAGTTCCCCACCTCTCAGCAGGCCTGCACCCCAGCCCCCAGCATCCCGGGACTGATGTTGGTCACTGGTCCAGATGCTCCCCCTTCTTCCTCGACGGCTCGCCTGGGGACATACCTGAACTTCTGTCCCCACAGATTGCACAAAGCCGTTTGCCAGCTCCAGGGCCACCTGGAGGGGGTGGACAGTGCAGGCCCCGGACCCCTAAGACAGGTGGCTTCACATCTTCAGGGGGGCCAGCCCCACCCCCAGGGAGCGACACTGTGGAGTTAATCTGGGTAAGGGGGAAACAGGGAAGTCACAGGGAGACCCGGGGTAGAAGGTGGTGGAAATCACTCCCTATGGTTCAGCAGGGCCTGGCACCGCCCCTTACAGAAGACAGCAGTCACCCTGCGGTCTAGGGGAAGGGCCACCTCTAGAGCACAACCCCAAAAGGGCACAACACTGGGACAGGGGATCAGAGGGGCTCAAGAATACTAAGGCTCCTCCACAGGGTTGGGGGACAAACATGCATAAACACGAGGTAACCAGACACCTCACCAAGGGCAAGGGGTCTCAAGGAAGGGAGAGCTAGCAGGTCAGTGGGCCCTGGGCATGTTCCCGCCAGGATCCGTGGTTACCAGAACAAGGAAATAAAGTGGAGAGGCAGAAAGTGAGCCACCACCTCTCACCTGGGGGCTGCTGACAGGCCCGGAGAATCCTGGGGGAGCTGGAGGGGGCAGGCCAGGGGACCCCATGGAAGAACTGATGACCGGGAAGGGAGAGCCCAGCGGAGGGGGTGGCATTGGAGGTGGGGGTGGCGCCCCAGAGCCCCCAAGGGATGGGGCTGCTGAAGCGGGCAGGGGTGGCCCAGGAGGAGAAGGGGGAGGGATCCCCTGTGTCAGGGGATTTGGGGAGGAACTGTCTGGGCTTCGGGAGTCTGAGGGAGGGGTACACACAGAGACACACACAGAGACAGGAGAGACAAAAAGAGAAAATGAGTGTTCCATCATCTGGGTGAAGACGTTTTCATGTTCTTAACCCCACATCGTCGCACCAGCCCCACCTGGTCCTGCTACACACACACACACACACACACACATACACACACACCCCAGAAATACCCTGGTGGCAAACAGCCGTGCAGCTGTGGTGAGCAGAAACGCCAGCTCCCCCAAGCCGGCCCTGTCTGGTGGCTGAGGCGGCACGTGGGTGGCCCCAGCACGGGCAGCGCGGACCCAGGCGCGCCCGGGGTGCTCCAGCTGCAGGGGAATGGTGTCCTCCCAGCGCCCGGGGCCCTCCAGCGGCCCCGTCCCGCCCCGCCCCGGGGGGAGGGCGCTCGGGCCCTCGGGAGCGAGCAGACGCGTGTTTACAAACAAGGGGGCGGGAGCGCCGGGCCGGAGCGCCGGGGAGCGGGTGGGGGTGCGTCGCCGCGAGCGCGGGCCCCGGATGGCCGGCCCGTCCGCCAGGACACTCACCCCGCCCGCTGTCGCCCATCCCGTCCCGTCCAGCCTCCCCCGGCTCCGGCTCCGGGCTTTGTTGCTCTCCGGCCGCCGCCGCCGCTGCCGCCGCCGCCGCCGGGTCCAGCCAGGGCCGTCGCCGCCGCCACCGGGACGCGACCCCACAATGCATTTCTTTTCGCACCCCCACCGGCCCACACTGCCCCGCGGCATGCCGCTCGGGGAGGAAGGGCGGGCGAGCAGCCCAAGACATGCTCCCTGGTTAAGTGTAGGGTTGAAGAATGTGCCAGGGACTCCCAAAGGTTTGGTCGAGGGACTAACTGAGCACAGGAAATCCCCGAGGAGAAAAGACTGGGGCCTGAACTGGGGTCGGAGTTAGGCACTTCCCTCTCCTCGGTACCAAAATGACAGCACCGCTGTGGCAGCCATCTTTGCACAAACGGGAAGTCTCGTCGCTAGCGCCCGCCCCCTCGCCCAGCTGGAAGCGGAGGAGGCGGGCTCCTCGGGCCGAGGACGTCGCCCGCCGGGCCTCTCCGCCGCCGACCCGCGGCTGCTGCGCGTGCGCGTCCGGGCGAGGCGGCTCCGCGGGCCTGGCGGCCGCCATATTAACACAGGTGTCGACGGCGGCGGGGGGAGGGAGAGCGGGAAGTTGCTCTTCTCGCGGGAGCTGGCGGCGTGACTGCCACGTCCGACCAAGCCGGGAAAGGACTCCGGAGCCGGTGAGAACCGCTGCCTTTCTCTCTCGTCCTTTTTCAGGCTTGTCCCCCCTCTAGTGAGTCCGAGACGAGGGCCCCCCAAGACCGTAACGTGACCGATCAAGGCCTAGAACGGTGTTCCGGGGGTCGCACCTCCGGGAGTGGTTTTGAAATAAAGAGGACGAGTCTTGGGGAACATTGTGAGTGTGTGGGCTGGGGCAGCATGGAATCGAGGAGCAGCCCATAGTGGTGGACGGAGGGCGTGAGCAGAATAAGACGGATCCCAGTTGACTGAAGTCGCTGTCTGTCCCTCTGGTCAGCATGATGGCCAGAGGCCTGGACGTCCCCCACGGGTTGGCTATGCGACTGCTGACCTGCGCGGCCTTGGGGCTGCTGGTGGCTGCACACGGGGACCATGGTGACCAGCACGAGGACCTGCAAGAGAGCTTCCATGGACACAGCCATGCCCATGGCCACGGCCACACGCATGAAAGCATCTGGCATGGGCACACCCACGGTGACCACGACCATGGACATTCCCATGAGGATTTCCACCATGGACATGGCCACGGCCACAGCCACGAAAGCATCTGGCATGGGCACACCCACGGTGACCACGACCATGGGCATTCCCATGAGGATTTCCACCATGGACACAGCCATGCCCATGGCCACGGCCATGGCCACACCCACGAAAGCATCTGGCATGGGCACACCCACGACCATGGGCATTCCCATGAGGATTTGCACCATGGCCATGGGCATGACAATGAGCATAGCCACGGAGGCTATGGGGCATCTGGGACTCCAGTCATCAAGCAGGACCTGGACACTGTCACCCTCTGGGCTTATGTGAGTCCTCTAGGGGATGGGGAAGAGAAGGGTTGGTGCTTGTTTGTTGGGAAATCCCACACCACCTGACCACCTGATTACCTGATTCTTCCTCGCCAGGCACTGGGGGCCACAGTGCTAATATCCGCAGCTCCATTTTTCTTCCTCTTCCTTATCCCTGTGGAGTCCAACTCCCCCCGGCACAGCTCTCTGCTCCAGATCTTGTTAAGTTTTGCTTCTGGTGGACTCCTGGGAGATGCCTTCCTGCACCTCATCCCACATGCCTTGGGTAAGTTAGCTCTGACTTTCCCCTCAAGTAGCAGCCTCTCTTCTTTGGGGGAAGACTTCTTTCTCCTTTGTGATTCGTGATTTTCAAGTGTTCCCCCTTGGGGCCAGGTACCCCCTCAACTGTGTATGTGTGTTTTTTCTCTTCCTCCAGAACCTCACTCTCACCACACTGTGGAGCAGCCCAGACACGGACATGGACACTCACACAGTGGTGAGGAAGAGGCAGAAGGAACAGGGGGGTTGGAGTGCTGAGGGTGGGAAGGTCTGTCTCTCCCTGTTTGCACCTCATATAGTGCAGCTGCATCTAGAGTCTGCTTCTTCCTGAGTGTTACGCTGCTCCCATCCCCAGGCCAAGGCCCCATTCTGTCTGTGGGACTGTGGGTTCTCAGCGGAATTGTCGCCTTCCTCGTGGTGGAGAAGTTTGTAAGGCATGTGAAAGGCGGCCATGGACACAGTCATGGGCACGGACATGCTCATGGTCACACCCATGGAAGCCACGGACACGGGAGACAGGGTAAGCCCAGGAGCACCTTCCCTGCCTCCCAGTCCTCTCATCTTTTGGCTGGTGGGTGGGAGGACATGGCAGACCTGTGTTCCTGGCCCTGACTGACTCCTTCTACCCTCAGAGGCTCCTCCAAAGGAGAAGCAGAGCTCAGAGGAAGAGGAAAAGGAAGCCGGGGGGCTGCGGAAGAGGAAGGGAGGAAGCACCGGGCCCAAAGACGGGGCTGTGAGAGCGCAGCACCCTGAAGAGGAAAAAACGGGCTCAGGTAGGGCTCGAGTTTGGGCTTGGGGACCAGCCTGGATAAGGGGCTCTCTGTGAGGCCCTTTTAGGGATGGCAGAGGAGCACCATGGGGCTGGGATTGACGAAAGCTTCTGGTCATTTTGTCTTCCTCTCCTGCACAAGATCTGCGCGTGTCTGGGTACTTGAATCTGGCTGCTGACTTGGCACACAACTTTACGGATGGCCTGGCCATTGGTGCCTCCTTCCGAGGGGGCCAGGGCTTGGGCATTCTGACCACGATGACCGTCTTGCTCCATGAAGTGCCCCATGAGGTCGGGGATTTTGCCATCCTGGTCCAGTCTGGCTGCAGCAAAAAACAGGTTGGTGTGGACATCCTCAAAGATGAGCATCTTAAATCCTGTGCCACTACTCACTCAATCCAAAGTCTCACACAGTGCCATCTGTACTGTCAATGACTCCTCTACTTACAAGGGGAGAAAAGTTCTGTTTTCTTTATCCTAAGTCTCAGTATTTGTTGAACTGATGGGTGATTTTCGGGGACCTTACATACACACATCTCACATGTACACACCCATTCCTCCTGGATCAGGTTTGACACATACCCCTTGACTTTAACATATACCCCTTTTGACTTAGTTTTTATTTATTTATTTTGGAAAGGCAGATATACAGAGAGGAGAGACAAGAAGATCTTCCATTTGATAATTGACTCCCCAGGTGGCCGCAGCAGCCAGAGCTGAGCCAGTCAGGAGCCAGGAGCCTCCTCCGGGTCTCCCATGACGTGGGTGCAGGGTTGCAAGGCTTTGAGCCGTCCTCAACTGCTTTCCCAGGACACAAGCAGGGAGCTGGATGGGAAATGGGGGCCACTGAGATTAGAGCTAACACCCCTATGGGATCCCAGTGCGTGCAAGGTGAGGACCTTAGCCATTAGGCTACCGCATCAGGCCCTGACTTAGTTTCTAAAGGCACTCACCTACACACCTGTACCTCATTGGCCACATCTGAACTTCTTACCATCGTTAGCTGTTGCTAAGTGCTTCTCCCTCTTTTCTGCCCACCAGGCGATGCGTCTACAACTACTGACAGCAGTAGGAGCACTGGCAGGCACAGCCTGTGCCCTTCTAACTGAAGGAGGGACAGTGGGCAGTGATGGCACAAGTGGTACAGGCCCTGGCTGGATTCTGCCGTTCACCGCAGGTGGTTTTATCTATGTGGCAACAGTGTCCGTGTTGCCAGAGCTGTTGCGGGAGGCATCACCACTTCAGTCGCTTCTGGAGGTGCTGGGGTTGCTGGGTGGCGTGGCCATGATGGTGTTGATTGCCCACCTTGAGTGAGAAAAGCGCAGTGAGCTGCCTCCAGGCTAGGGCTCAGAGACTAGTGGTTTGGCCTGGGACACCTGCCAGAGGAAAGCATTGCAGCCTCAGAGAATGAGAACTTTGCATTTGGACCTTTAAATTCTGTTTGGGGGACTGCAGCAGTCAGAACAAGTGGCTAAAGGGACCATTATGTGGGGCTGGCACTGCCTGACCGTATTTTTGGAGTGGAGAACTAAAAGGAGCTACAAAAAAGGCTGGAAGGAAGTGGTGTAGCCCATGGTTGTGTCCCCTACTCCCTTATACTTAAGAGGACCAAGCTGTCCCACATAGGGTTTATCCGGAGCCCATTTCCCTCCCCCACCGGCTGCTGGAGTTTTCAAGGCAAGACCAAAATCCTAGACGGAGGGAAGAGGAGGAGGAGGAGAGCAGAGATGAACATCAATCATGTTCCGATTTGGGAGTGACTGGGTAAAAGGGAGGGAGGGTTAGTTGGTAATCTGATTGCCTGCCTGATATTTTGTTGGTTTGTTTCTATTCATTTTGTATCACTGTGTTTGAATTGAGGGGATGGGGGTGGTGACCAGAAATAAAGTCTTTGGATATTCCGCTTCACGTGCATTCTTTGTCTTTTTGGGGAGAGGCGGGCAGCAAGGCCCCTAGTCTGCCCAAGTCCCAAACCTTGATGTCTGGCCCCACAGATGGCTTAGGCGGGGCGGGGCCTGGGTTAGCCCCGCTTTGCCCTAGCCACGCCCTCCCTGTGCTCTGATTGGCTCCGTGCTCGGGTCCGCCCTCTCGCCGCCCGCCATGGCGTCTGCGCTCCGGCTCCGCTCCGCGCTGGCCCTGGTCACAGGTTGAGGAGGGCATGTTCTCCCCGGGGGGGTTGGGGTGTCAGTGTAACATCAGGATGCACCGGAAGCCCCTGCGACTACGGTCCCTAGTCCAGTATTCACTGACTGCGCCCTCTGACCCTTGCCCCTCCCCCACATGGTCTACCCCCACTTCAGGTGCAGGTAGCGGCATCGGCCGAGCGGTCTGTGTGCGCCTGGCCCAAGAGGGGGCCACTGTGGTCGCCTGCGATTTGAACGGGGCAGCAGCACAGGAGACGGTGCGGCTGCTGGACGGCCCGAAGAGCGAGGCGGGGGCGCCCGGCGGGAAACATGCGGTCTTCGAGACGGACGTGTCAGAGTCCAGGGCTGTCAGGCACCTGCTGGCGCAAGTGCAGGTGAATGCTGGGCAGCCTCTCCCCGAGGAAGCTCCCCCAGTATCTGCACGGCGCCCAGCCGCGGGTGTATGACCTCTCTCTCCCATAGGCCTGCTTTTCTCGCCCTCCATCTGTCGTGGTGTCCTGTGCAGGCATTACCAGGGACGAGTTTCTGCTCCACCTCTCTGAGAAGGACTGGGACAAAGTCCTAGAGATCAACCTCAAGGTTGCGATTCTGGCTCTAGTGGGATGGGAATCTAAGGAGGGCTGCCGCCTCAGCTGACTGCTCTGCCCTGTTATCCTCTCTTGCCAGGGTGTCTTCCTGGTCACTCAGGTTGCAGCCCAAGCCCTGGTGGCCAGCGGTCGTCCAGGCTCCATCATCAATGTCAGTAGCATCGTAGGAAAGGTCAGGTTGGGTGGGGAATCAAGTCAGCCATCCAGAAGAGCCCCTCTCTGGGACTCCTGCCACAGCCCACGTCTCTGATTTACTTGCAGGTGGGGAACCTGGGGCAGACAAACTACGCCGCATCCAAGGCGGGAGTGATTGGGCTGACCCAGACTGTAGCCAAAGAGCTGGGAAGGTTGGTGGGACTCCTGGGGGCCCCCGGGGCGTTTGCTGAGGTCTGAGCCTGGAGAAGGGGCCAGTCTGCTGGCCTCCTCAGAGTTAAAGCACCACTCTGCCTCCTACAGACACGGGATCCGCTGTAACTCCGTCCTCCCAGGGTTCATTACGACACCCATGACACAAAAAATGCCACAGAAAGTGATAGACAAGGTAGGAGGCAGTGGGTTAGAGGGCAGAAGCATCCAGAGGCTCTGGGCATCACACAGAGAATGCGGCACCCAGTGCCTGGCAAACAGGGACCCTCAACATACGAGGGAACAAACAAGAGAGAAAAATGCAGACATGTCCATAAAAGACACTTTGCCCCACCTGAGCATTTCCCTGCAGGTGACCGGAATGATTCCGATGGGATACATGGGGAAGCCTGAGGGTGAGCACTGAATGTGTATGTTGGCCGGGAGGGGCTTGGGGAAACCCCAAGTGCTAGGGTATTGTTGAGAGTCCCACCAGCTTTGGTGGTTGATGTTTAGCAGGAGGGGTCTATTTTGTGGAGGTGATGGCTCATTTGCACAGAGGGGAGTGAGTAGGATTCTGCGCTCTCCGCACTGTTCCCATAGATGTGGCAGACGTGGTCGCATTCTTGGCCTCCGAAGAAAGTGGCTACATCACAGGGGCCTCGTTGGAAGTCACTGGTATGGGGCCAGTGTGGGGGAGGGAGAGGGCCAAGAAATGGAGCCAGATCCCATCCCAAGTGAGGGGCGTGGGGAGCCACCCTGTGGGAAGGGCGGGGGCTCCTGAGGCCAGGGACAGAAGTGGGCAGTCCCCCGCCCATTTGTCTCTGTACTCATGCATCTGTCCAAATGTTCCTGCCCCTCCCAGGAGGTCTTTTCATGTAGCTGCCTCGAGGGAGGACCCAGGACCCTGCACGCACCCCCATTGCTGTGGCCGGCCTCCTGCCGATGAGGACGCTAAGTTCCCAGGCTACAAAAGGGGTGGTGGTGTCTGGCTCAGGAATGCTGAATATGGGAGGCAGGGGTGCTTGTGACCCTAATAAATTCCAAATCCTCTTCCCTGCCACCTCCGGTTTCGTCTTGTGTCCAAGCCCTCAGACCCTTCCCCACCTCCCCCTCTTTCCCTTTCCCCAAGGATTGTTCCCTTTCACTGCCTGGTCTCCCAGGGCAACCCCCGCCGCCGGGTGCGAGAGGAAAGAGTGTGTGTCACTGTGTCTGCGTGACACTCTGAGTCTTTTGGAGGGAGGGGTCTCCACCCCACCCCCTTCCACCCTGGATCTGCAGCATCAGGCCTGCCCCCCCCCCCATCCCCAGGTCCCTACAGTTCACCAAGGGTGATTTGCTCCTGGTTCCATCCTAATGTCCAGTTTGGCTGTGGGAGAGGGTCTTGGAACAGGTGGCCCTCCCCCCACCCAGCTCCTTTCTCTGAGGGCCCCCCTCCCCTTTCTCTCCACCTTACAATAGCTGCAGCCGGCCTGGGGTCGGATGGGGGAGATTAGGGGAGGGGACCAGGATTAGGGGAATGGACCAGACGATGAAAGGGGCTGGAGGAAAGCAGAAGGGAGGGTGCTGGGAAGAGGAGGAGGAAGGGGAGGGGGTCTGCGCTGATCCACTCCGGCGCCCACATAAGGACTGGCCACGGACTGAAGGAGAGGACAGGGAAGTAGGGGGAACTGGGGGAGGGTGGGGAGGGTAAAGGGACCCACGGCTGCCTGGTCCTGGAGACAGGCCACCCATCCTCGGGTAACTGCAGCCTCAGGCCGCGAGCCGCAGCTCAGGCCTGGCAGGGTTAGGACGCCCGGCTTGGCCTCTGGGTAGCTTTCCTATCTCCCTCTTACTACTCTGCCCTCCCACGGAACGGCTCTTCCCCTTCCTCTTCGACCCCTCCCCTGACTAGAACCTTTGAGGAGCCCCTGGCCCACTCTCCACTCCAGACAGAACGCCCTCGTGCCCCCGCCCCGTGCGCACTCTCCCTCCCCATCGGGGGCCCCATCTTGCTCGGGCGTCCCTGCTTCCGCGTGGTGTCTCCATCCCCTAACTCCGCGCCCCCGTCCCTCCCGGGCGCGCCCTCCCTCGCCGCGGGCCCCGGCTCTTGATTGTCCAAACGCAATTCTCGAGTCTCTGGCTGCGGCCGAGAGTTGCGTCTGGACGTCCCGAGCCGTTGCCCCTAGACCTCGAGCGGGGAGAGAACCCCCAGGGTGGCCAGAGGAGGGTCCGAAGCGCCTCAGGACCTACAGAATCCGCGTCCACCACCCTGGGCCACAGCGGCCGAGGGGCTGCTTGCAGCCTCCTACCCACCCCCGGGGACCCCGGGCTAGGGGGTTACGAAGAAGTTGCGCGCGTGTCTGGACCGGGGTTCCCCCGCCACCCCGCCCCGGGCCGCCAGGGGACGCGGGGCGGGGGAGGTGGCCCCTTCCCCCAAGTCCTGATCGGTCCCTCCAGGGGTCCCGGCGAGCCAGGCCCCGCCCCGCGGGGCGGAGGCCCCCAAGTGGGGCGAGAACCGGGAGGCTCGGGGCGGAGACGCGGCCCCACGTGGCGCGGGGATCCCGGGCCGCGAGCTCCTTGCTCCCGCGGGGCCGGTGCCAGGCGCGGGCAGGGAAGCCCCCGCGGGCAGGGAAGACCCCGCGTCCACGTCGCGTCCCACTCGCGGCCCGAGCGCCGGTGACGTCTCCGCGGGTGGGAGGAGGGAGGGAGGAGGGCGGGGGGCGGCGGTGGAGTGAATCGGAGGGACTAGCGGAAGTGACGTAGGGCCCAGCGCCCGGGCCATGGCGGCGGCGGCGGCGGGAGCTGCTGTCTGAGAGGCGGCTGCGGGCCGAGCGAATTCGATCCGGGAGCCCGAGCCTGAGGAGAGGCGCGGCGGCGGTGGGCGCGCGGACGGCCGGAGCAGCCGGGTGAGGGCGCGCGCCGCGGGGGGCGCCTCTGGAGGGGCGGGGTCTGCGCAGGGGCGGCCCCCTAACACCGCCTCCCGTTCCCCTCCCCAGCCGCTCTCCTCCTCCTCCTCCTCGGCCGCCGAGTGCTGGTGGGGGGTCCGTGCCCGGTCACCATGACGACGCCGGCGAATGCCCAGAATGCCAGCAAGACGTGGGAACTGAGCCTCTACGAGCTGCACCGGACCCCGCAGGTGACTGCTTTCCCAATGGGCTCCCTCCCCTCTCCTCGATCCTTGCACAGACCCTCCCCACCACGCACTGCCTCCCGTGCAAACCTTCCCCTGCCCCGCCCGAGGCCCCCCGCCAGCGCCTCGCCCTCCGCCCTGGAGAGGCTCCCTTTTGAAAGGAAATTGAGCGACCCAGAAAGGCCGCCTCTTCCTCGGGCCACTGTTAGTTCCCATAAGAAGTACCCGTGGAGAGTGTGGTATCCGAAGCTTCACAAACCGCTGCCCCCCCTCCACACACACCCCATTCTGATTCAGTAGTGCCATCTGCATTTGTAACAGGTTCCGAAGGAGTCTGTCTGTGCCACTCCCACCCCAGGTCCTTTGCTGAACCTCCAAGTCCTCAACTCAATCCGTTGACCCTAATCCTTTCAAGTCAGTAGCCTATCAGAAATCCCACCTTTCTCCAGTGGCAAACCAGGGCACCTGGCCCCTCTTCCTATGCTCTTCAAAACTCCGGGTTTTTTAAATTGCTTGTTTCTAAAAGCCCTTTGCACCTGCTGACCCTCCAGGAAGCCATAATGGATGGCACAGAGATTGCGGTCTCCCCTCGGTCGCTGCACTCAGAGCTCATGTGCCCCATCTGCCTGGACATGCTAAAGAACACCATGACCACCAAGGAGTGCCTGCATCGCTTCTGCTCCGACTGCATCGTCACGGCGCTGCGGAGCGGGTGACCAGAGGAGGACGGGGTGGAGACTGGGCCCCCTTGCTGGTCCCAGCCAGCTCAGCAACTCCCCTCACACAACACACTGGGGGGGACAGACCACTCAAGCTCTCCTTTCTCCTGTCCCCAGGAACAAGGAGTGTCCCACCTGCCGCAAGAAGCTGGTATCCAAGAGGTCCCTACGGCCGGACCCCAACTTTGACGCCCTGATCTCAAAGATCTACCCGAGCCGGGAGGAGTACGAGGCTCATCAAGACCGAGTGCTCATCCGCCTCAGCCGCCTGCACAACCAGCAGGCCCTGAGCTCCAGCATCGAGGAGGGGCTGCGCATGCAGGCCATGCACAGGTGTGTGAGGAGGGAGGTGGGTGGGGGGCTGGAGGGCTGGATCCCTCAGGGCTGACTCCTGCTGCCTTCTGTGCTGCCTGTCAGCTTCTAAGCATTTACCATGGCCTGGCCAGCCTGGAAACCAGGACTGGAAATGGCAGCTGCCTAGTGAGCTGGCTCTCTGACCATTAGAGCCATAGAGGGATTCTGAGCATGCGCATCAAGGGATGAGCCCTTCTTCCCCCCCCACACACACATCCATGAAGCTGCATCTCCCAGTCTTTCTGCTGTATCCACACTACCTGTGGGTCTCGCTAGAAATATAGAACTCCACCTCAGTAGGTCTGGTGTTGGACCTGAGGTTGCCTTCTACAAACTGTTGGTGCTGTAAGTTCTCCCACCACACCTTGCAAGGTGACAGTTTATCATGAACTCAAATGAGCCACGTAAAAACTGTGGCCTCGGTCCTAAGATCAAGACCGATACTTAGCAGGTGGCCTGGCCCACAACACTGAATAAACATTATGTGTCTTGGTTGTGAGAGGTTTGAACTCTAAGCACCTTATCCCCAGTGCTTCTAACCATAAGCACTTGTTTTTACAGGGCCCAGCGTGTAAGGCGGCCAATGCCAGGGTCCGACCAGACCACCACGATGAGTGGGGGAGAAGGAGAGCCTGGGGAGGGAGAAGGGGATGGAGAAGATGTGAGCTCAGACTCAGCTCCCGACTCCACCCCAGGCCCTGCTCCCAAGCGGCCCCGTGGGGGAGGCGCAGGGGGGAGCAGTGTAGGGACAGGAGGGGGTGGCACTGGAGGGGTAGGTGGGGGCGCCGGTTCAGAAGATTCTGGTGACCGGGGAGGCACCTTGGGAGGGGGAACTCTGGGGCCCCCAAGCCCTCCAGGGGCCCCTAGCCCTCCAGAACCAGGTGGCGAAATTGAACTCGTGTTCCGGCCCCATCCCCTACTCGTGGAGAAGGGAGAATACTGCCAGACCAGGTGAGGAACCCTATCTCCCCACCTCTCCTCCTTCCCCCTCCTTCCCCCCCAGCTCTGGCTCCCAGAATCCTAGCTGAACCCCGAAGCCCTGTGGTGGAGGCATCCCCTGCCTCCCTGCCCTGATCCTGTATGCTTGCCCCCTCCAGGTACGTGAAGACAACTGGGAATGCCACCGTGGACCACCTCTCCAAATACTTGGCCCTGCGTATTGCCCTGGAACGAAGGCAGCAGCAAGAGGCTGGAGAACCAGGAGGGCCTGGAGGGGGCGCCTCAGACACTGGGGGACCTGATGGGGGTGGTGGAGAGGGTGGGGGCGCCGGAGGAGGTGATGGCCCTGAGGAGCCTGCCCTACCCAGCCTGGAGGGCGTCAGTGAGAAGCAGTACACCATCTACATTGCACCTGGAGGCGGAGCTTTCACGGTGAGCACTCACTGGGGCAGCTCCACGGCCAGCTCCCCGCCTTCTCCTCTCCCTCCTCTGCTCCTCTTCCTCGCCTGTCACTTCCTCTTTCTCCCACCCTCCCACCCCCTTGTTCACCTTTTGCCTCCCATTTCCTCCTCCCCATCACCTGCAGACACTGAACGGTTCACTGACCCTGGAGCTTGTCAACGAAAAGTTCTGGAAGGTGTCCCGGCCACTGGAACTCTGCTACGCCCCCACCAAGGACCCAAAGTGACCCCACAGGGGTCATCCAGGGAGTGTCCCTGCTGTGTTGAGGCCTGCAACCCTAGCTTCTTTGTTCTCCAGTGCCACCCGGCCAGCCAGCAAGAGGACACAAATGAGGACAAGTGGCTTTTATACAAAGTGTCTATATCAGATTCTTCTATATTGTTCAGAGCGGGGCGTGCGCCCCATCTGCTGCCTTTTCTATGCCTCCCAACTTCCCATCAATTCAAGACAATGGGGAAGGTGAAGACCCCTCCCCTTCACACCCTCTGACTCACAACAAATTCGCTTTTTTTCTCTTTGAAACCTGTGGTTCTGTATCTTTATGGGATGCAGGAGAAACCTGTGGTTCTGTATCTTTATGGGATGCAGAAGAGCACTTGGGGAGGGCAGCCTGGACCAGGCAGCTCAGCCTTAGGAATGGAGAGGATTTGGCCAGAGGTTATTCCTTGTGTGATTGCCTTTTTCCTAAACATCCAAATTAGCAAACACGTGTGAAATAAGGATGGCCTGGGAAGTGGGAAGAGTGGGGGATTTGCAGAGTCAGAGACTTGCCGCCTGACCCCTGAATCTATCACCTAGGCTGAAGTCCCAGGAGGATGGAGCCGGATGGTTTGGAAGGGAAAGGAGTCCTGGGTGTTGCTGGAAGCTGGAAAGAAAGAGGGAGGGAGACTGGGGAGGGGGGTACTGCCAGAAGTAACTTGCTCAACACCAGGGGCTCAACACCTCCACTACAGTTTCCAGGAGCGTGCAACCTGGGCTCACCCAGCAGCACCGCTGGGCAGAGGCTCGGCTAGGGAGAATCCAGATCTGAGCCAGTTGCAATGACTGGCTGAGACCAGATGGGGCATAAAGGAAGTTCCTAGGGCCAGGCTGGTCCTCAAGCCTGAGGCTGGAGGACAGAGGCAGAAGCCAAAGGTGCAATACTGATAACAGGATCCAAAGCAATGGGGGAGGAGAGGGTTGTAGAAAGAGGACCAGCTGTCTCCACTGAGTGCCTCCCCAGGCCTGTCGCCTCACTTCCCGTTTCAGTTGTCCCCAGCACACTCGCCCCAAGTGCCTCCCCCACCTCAGGTCTCTGTCATATTGCACAGTAAAGCCCACTAGGCCTCTTCCAACCACTCGACCAGCTCCCTCCCCCACAGCCTTGGGGGTTGGCACTCTGGCCCCTTTGAAAACCCAAGAACCCTCACCTACAGCTTGCCACGTGTCTCAGCCATGTTGCAATCCCTGGAACCCAAGAGCCTGAGCCACCCTGACTTGTTTCTCTCAGGGACCAAGGACCTGGGGTCTGGTGCTGCCAGAACCTGGGGATGGGAGCCTGGGGCTGTTGCTTCCAGGATGTACAGGTGGGACGTCGGGATGGGGAGAGGACCAAAGAGTGGAATGCACCTGCACAGCATCATCTGGTTCCAGACGCTGTCCTGGGTGTCTCTCCTCATCTTCCTCTGCCCCTCACACACCCTGCCTCTGCTGCCCTCCCCTGCTCTTTTCTGCTCTCCACTTCCCCCATTTCCCCTCCTGCTGTCTCTGCTGTGGCGTCCTTGGCTTCTCGCCCCTAGCAGATGTGAGGTAGACCAGAGAATTGGGAGCCCTGGACTAGACTCCATCCCCCACCCTCAACCCCCCTGGCCGGCAGTGCCCTGGCCAGAGAGGGAAAGGCAGGACGGGGACACAGTGAGAGGTACACAGTACGGGAGAGGGAACTTGAGGATTCTGTTGAGGAAAGGAGTACAGGGAGCAGAACAGCTAAGCGTGCAGAGGCAGAGGGAAACTGGATACACAGCTTGGCGCCAGACTCTGCGAACTGAGCAGCCGCTTCTGCCAGGAAGAACACGGGAACACACTAAGGAGGTGATGCGGGCAGGGGCTGCCAAACAGACCCCGCCCTCCTGCAGGGATCCCTGCACCCCGCCATACTCACCTAGGAGCTTATTAGAAACGGGGAAAGAAAAAAAAAAAAAAAGCACAGGAGTCTCCCAATCTTGAGAGAGTGGAGTCTTATCACTCGGGGAGCCTCCAGGAGTTTGCTAGAAGGCAGGGTTTGGAAGTGAGGTGACACATCCCTTGCTGGGCACACACAGCACTCAGGAAGCAATACCCCTTTCTGAGGGTGGTGACAGTTTCCCTTTCTACAAGGCGCAATGCTTGACAGTTGGGGGTGCTCTGGAAAGTGGGGCGGCCCCCCGCAGTGCTCCCTGGGCTCGGCCTGCACACAAGACCCCACCTACTGCATGCCTACCTGCTCTCTGCCTGGCCAGCGGCCAAGGTCCTGGGAGGGAGGAGGTCTGGGCCAGCGGGGTGGCAGGAGGAACCTTCCTGCCAGGGGAGCCTCTCCCTCATCCACCAGCACACACAGACACACACCCGCTGCCACACACACACACCTTTCAGCCCCCACTGGTTGGCACTGAACAAGGAGGGCTGCCCTTGCTTACTCTTGTGGAAGCTTCCTTTGGGGAATTACCCTCTTGGGCAAAACATTCAGCAAGCTGCTGCTGCTTTTTAAAAAGATTTGTTTATTTTTGTTGGAAAGGCAGATATATAGAGAAGCAGAACCAGAAAGGTCTTCCATCTGCTGATTCACTCCCCAAGTGGCTGCAATGGCTAGAGCTGAGCCAATCTGACCCAGGGACCTGGAGGGAGGGAGGGAGGGAGACAGGGAGAGAGGGAGGGAGAGAGGGATGGAGGGAAGGACGGAGGAAGGGAGGGAGAGACTAAATGTATTACTTGAAAGGCAGGAGAGAAACAGAATTCCCATCTGCTGGCTCACTCCCCAAAAGCCCACAATGGTCATGGTGAGTGAGTATGGGGTGTCTAAAGCCGGATGCCGCAACTCTCAATCCAGCCATCAGGTGGGTGCAGGAACCCAGTCACTTGAGCTGTCACTGCTGCATCCGAGCTAAAGTCAGGAGAGGTAGCCATCAAATCCAGGCACTTTCATGGGTGTCTCATCCTAACCTGGGTTTTACCTCTATGCCAAAGCAACAAGAGCTGAGCCAGTCCATAGCCAGGATCAGATCTTCCATATGGGTGCAGGGCTCAAACACTTGGGCCATCCTCTGCTGCTTACTTAGGCACATGTCCAGGGAGCTGGGTCAAAAGTATCGCTGAGGGACCCAGCACAGTAGCCTAGCAGTTAAAGTACTCACCTTGAAAGCATGGAGATTCCATATGGGTGCTGGTTCTAATCCTGGCAGTCCCACTTCCCATCCAGCTCTCTGCTTGTGGCCTGGAAAAGCAGTCAAGGATGACCCAAAGCCTTGGGACCCTGCACCCACATGGGCGACCTGGAGGAGGCTCCTGGCTCCTGTCCTCGGATTGCCTCAGCTCCAGCCATTGCGGCTGCTTGGGGAGTGAATCATGAGACAAAAGATATTCCTCTTTGTCTCTCCTCTTCTCTGTATATCTGACTTAGCAATAAAAATAAATCTTTAAAAAGTGTAGCTGGGACTCAAACCAGATGCCAGTGCTGCAGGTTGTGGCTTTACCCACTAGGCCACACTATTGCCTTCTGTGCTCCCGGGCGCCAGCCCCCACTCCCCAACCCCCCCACCCACCCCAACACACCTTTTAATTTTACTTTTCCTGAGTGTTTTGGAGTGCCCTCATAGCCATGGGTGGTGATTCAGAAAAATCTTTTTCAAATGCAAATCTGATTGTTTCTGTTGCTTTGCTTCAACTCAGCGGGCGGTTTCCCTCTGATCTCAGTTTAAAGACCCAGGTTGCTAACCTGACCTCTGAGGCCCCCGCAAAGCGCCATCCTGGCTCTCCAGCCTCACCCCCCACCCCTCACTCTCAGAGGTGCCAGTTCCTGCATACCTCTTGCTTGCTCCTGCAGAGAACTTTGGGGTCCACCCCAGGTGGCTTTATGGTGTCCCCAGGGAAGTCTCCCCAGCTGGGCTTCCTTTCAGGGTCAGAGTTTCTTCCTCTGAACCCTCACACCTGTCCTTGAAGATGCTGGAGTTCCTCATTGTCTGGGTTAACTTCTGCCCACACAGCATAGGCTCCCCGAGGGCAGGGGCCTGGGCTGCAGGTGCTCACTCTGGTTCCTAAACCCAGTACTAGAGACGTTTCATTGGTTAAACTGTGTGCACGCCAGGACCTTGGGCAAGGAGCTAAATATTTCACGACTCGAGGCCATCATTTTCCCTCCAGGAATTGCAGCATGGGAGTCCCATGTGCCTGGCATGTCCTTCATTCCAGTCCTGCCATCATGCGGCTGGCATCGGCTACTCCCACAGCCTACCTCCATCCTAGGCCGCCTCCATCTTGTATGCCCTGTCCCCTTGAACTTTTGATGCCCCTTTCTAGTTTTTGCCTCAAGCCAATATAGTCAGAATACAGGCTCCAGAACAAGAATGTCTGGCTCAGAAATTATGTTAAAATGGCCAGGGATGGGACCTCCAGCTGGGTGTTAAACCAATCTGAATCCCAATTTTCCTGTCCATAAAATGGAAAGCGCTTCAGCATCAAAAAGTATGAGGTAATTAGGGATCGCAAAGCAACCCTCCTGCATCATGTGGAAATACTAGATCAGAGAGGAACAGAGAAAAAAAAAATCTAGGAACGAGAGACTGAAGCCAAAAGTTGAGGTAGGGTTGGGGGGATGCATTCTGGTAGCTAAGGGCTTGCATTCCACCAATTAAGAACAGGAAAAAAAAAAAAAAAGAACAGGGGGGCAGGGATTAGAGGAGAAGTGGAGAAGTGAATAAACCACAGCACAGCTGGCCAGAACTGATTCAGAGACCGGTGGGCAGGCATCTGACAGAGCGGTTAACAAGCCACTAGGGACACCTGCGCCTCCTATCTGAGTACTGGGTCCAAGTCCTGGTTCCAGTCCCTATTCTAGCTCCCCGCTAATGCACACATTGGCAAACAGAAGGTGATGGCAAAAGTGCCTGGGTTCCTGCACTAGCATGGGAGACCTGGATGTAGCGTCTGGCAGCTGGCTTCAATCTGACCCAGCCCTAGGAAGATTCTCTCTCTGTATGTCACCCTGATTTTCAACTAAACTTTTTAAGTACAAACAAGGTTCTGAACATATTATTTCCATTCAGATGCAAATGATTGAAGGAACAATTTATTTGGTTACTTATATAAACTTTTCATATGACATTTAAAGAGTCAAATCACACTTAGAAGACTAAAAATTCCAAATGAAATGTTAGCAAACTGAATCCAGTGTATATGCATGTGTATGTTAAGTGAATGACCATGCAGGGTTTATTCTAAGAAAGCAAAGATTCCCTACTTTGAAAACCTAGTAGTAATGTTTACAACATTGACCTATTCAAAAAAATATG